GTTTTGTCACCCAACTTGCACATATCTGTAGAAAATCATGCATACATAGTATACGATTTATAGAATGATCTCATACGCATCAATGTCAATAATTCAGTAGAATGTATCATCTGCAACAGCAATTCAATGAAGATATGAAAAATATACTTTAATTTTAAACTTAAATATAAAAATTAGGCACTAAATGTTCTTACACTTGTATACATGTTCAATGCTTTGTATTTTAGCGACACAGTTTGTTCACATGATAATTTCCTCATTAGTAGAACTCGCACTTTGCATGCTTGCACAGTAACGGAATTCATTAGTCACCGATGATCTCGATAAAGAAAGCTGCAACTGTACACAGGCACTGGACAGTACAGTACTGAGAAGTTATTTGCTATGATTGATTGGTGGTCTGGCACAATTATATTTTTACTGATTCACAAAGTCACAATTTTTTAATTATCATAACCCTACCGCTGTGGCATTCGACTGTAACCAAATATCTGTATTACCATACATCGCAAAATTCTATTTTAGTACAATACTGCATTATTCAACTTTTTAATCCCTGAGCTATGAAAAATATTAGAGGCATTCCAGAAGTCTCCTGTATAGAAAATATTAGAGGCGTTCCAGAAGTTTCCTGTATAGTAGTTCCAGCATTTAATTAAAAATATTAGAGGCATTCCAGAAGTCTCCTGTATAGTAGTTCCAGCATTTAATTAACTGGGTCAGTTAATTCCCATCAGGTGAGGCATTAGTGTTAACCTCATCTACTAGGCAGTCAGAACTGTGGTGGTGTGTATTTATATGGTACTGACCTATGGGCTATGAAAGCATGCGTTCCAAAAGTATGGATTTGACAGAAATCAAGTTCCATATTGTTGGGAAAAACAACAATTCAACCTGTTGAAGGAAGGTTTAAACACCCCAAGCCGCATCAATTGCAACCAATAACGCAGCGTAGAATATAGTTCCTTCACTGCAGTCTGACAGTGAACAAGTCATGAATGCATTCATTTCATGTGGATCAGAAGTGGCAAAACACGCCAGATCTCATCAAAGAGGTGCGACAATCTTGGCACTATGAAAGTGATGCAGATCACTTCTTTGAACATCAAAGGCTTGTGCTAAGCCATCCTTTGCTACCTCATACCAGAGTTAAATGATGACAAGAACTGCCCAGTACCAAATGGAAAGAACCAAAACTTGTGGAACACAAGATCACTTCCTTCAGAACAGTTCAGCACTGCACTACCAGAGCGATATGCAGAGATTCCCGGAATACCACGGACCTGTCTCCAATCTGAATCTGAAAATGCCATCAACAACACACAGCACCATTATAATGCCTGAGATTAGATGATAGCTGCTCTGCAATGGATCATTTGCATCACTAATGGCAGAAATGCGTTCAAATGAGCGGTGACTGCATTGAGTAGTGGACAGATGGAAGCACGTTGCAACATACTGCTTCTAGTGATCCGTTGTGTCAGGAACAAACACTTCCTACAGAGAGAAAACTTCTGAAACTCCTTTCCTATTCTGGCTTAGCCTAAGTCATGAGAGAAAGGTCTGGGACTTACCACTTGTGTCCTTGACAAGCTGTAGCATCTTCATTCTGTGTGTACTGGCTACTCATCTTGTTAATGCTGTAGTTGGTCAGGTGCATGTAGCGATCACCCAGGCATGCCATGTCACTGGAGTATTTAACTGAAGCCAGAAATAACATACCCGATGGAAACGCAAGCGTTCAAACAAGAGAAGGAGCATTCATTTAACGACTTGTTTGAAATTTCCTGATCCACAAATATCACATTTGTATGTGCTGTCAGCAATTTTTGTCATAATTTAAACAGCTGTCTCCATAACATGCAGTAAATCCGATACACAGCCTCTTCCTTGACAACCACAACCAACAAGAAAACATCTACAAACATACGAACAGATTCTACAGCTGAAATAAAATAAGTCAAAGTCTCCAACCACCACACAAGGAAAGTTGAGTGCTTCATAGCTTACATTAGCATTTCCCTAATTACAAGACCATTCTTCACCTAATTTATAAAATGTAAAGGGTTATTACATAATTCTCAATAAAGCAAAATACGTGATAACTACGTACACTTTCTTTAAAAGCTTCAGTAAAAAATCAAACTCAATAAAAACTGGGGGGAAATTTCTTTTCCAAAAGACTTAATTTTTAAGGAGGCATTACATGATAAGAGAGAGTCAAATAACCAACAAACACACTCTGTATAAAAGCAGAAATATCACAAGCGGCTTTGGACCTGGACCACCAGGATATTTGATAGCGAAGTGCTGAGGACAATATTTGAACCTAAGACAGAGAATGTAACAGGAGGATGGAGAAAATTACATATGGAACATAACACTTGTTCCCTTCTCCAAATTTTATTAAGGTTGTTAAATCAAGGAGAATGACATGGACAGAACATGTAGCACACATGACGGAGATGAGAAACGCATAAAAACCCAACAGGACGAGACCAAAAATACGGGAAGACAATATTGAAAACGATAGCAAAGAACACGAGGCAGAGGCAGTTGCCCCCCCCCCCAAACTCTGACATTGGAGTCGTGGACTGGATTCAAGTGTCCCAGGACAGGCACCAGTGGTTATCTTGGGAACATAGGAACACATTTTTGGATTGCATCAACCAATTAGGGCCCAGTGATGTCTACAAGTACCAGCTGTTTTCTTCTTCTTCTTCTATGGCGCGACAGCCCGAAGTCAAGTCTTGGCCTCCTTACCAGCTGTTTTGCCAGTAAATAACTCTTTTTTGTCCAGATTGTATTTGTGGGTTTCGTATCATTCTCAGAACAAACAGGCGTTACATCTTCGTACAACATTCAGCACTTGCTCTTAGGAATGGTGACATGTTTTCCCTGTGCTAAGTGACTTTCCAAATTTTATTTAGATAAACTTCGGCTCCAAATGGTTAGATGCCAGGAATTTCTTGATTGGCTGAAACTATCAGCTTCTCACAGAAAAATCTGCTTCATGGGTTTAATGAGAGAGAAAATGTCCAGTACCATAACTTGCTATAATATAGAGTGTAAATTTTTGTACTATAAACTTATTTCATTTACAAAATGAAACTGAGAGGGAGAAAGGATCGTCATACCTGAAGCAAACCGAACCAATCCATCATCATAAATATAGATGCGAAGAGGATTGATACTAGTAAGCAGCACATAGAGGCGTAGGTCAAACTTGCTGCCATTGATGAGAAAAGGCTGCGATATGTACTTCTGAACCACTAACGGTCGCTTCTTGGGGATTTGGGCCCAACGATGAACAACCTTAATGCCAGTGCCTCTTGCAGACGCAGGCTGAAAAGTCACATCAATTACTTATGCTGATTTAGACCTACAATAAATGTACTTTCACAATTATTTAAACGTTACTAATGTCCATACTGGTTTGACTATCCACTTCTCATTGCCACAACTCTTCTCCCATGCCTGGCGAAGCAGCTTGTTGTCCTGAGGTAACACGTAAGTACGAGGGATAAAGCCAAATCTGGAAAGCAGACAAACATATATCACAGACGTAAAACAATCTTCCGTATTCCAAGAAAGATGAATGGTTATGTGGACAGTAACAGAACCATTAATTCAACAGAATGTGTTGCTATGTGACCTCACCACTCTGTTTATTTGAGGTTTTCACGGCAGTGAGTCTGAAGATGGCCGTCTACTGGGTTGTTGCACCGAGTAAACCCAGTAGACGGCCATCTTCATTATTCATGATATTTATATTTTCCAGCAACAAATTAAGTCATCAGCATAAACAAGTATCTGAATATGATTTAACATTAAACATACTCTTTCTTTCCAAACTTTGTCATAAGACGGTACAAATTCTTCCACAGCCGATCTTTACGGCCAATTTGAAATGTCCCTGGAAAGTGATTGATCTTCTGGAAGTCTTTCAAGGTTTTAAAACACAGTGATTTCATGTGTTTTCCCCACGTACCACACCAGTCATTTGACTCTGGAAAGTAAAAGTGGTTTATTATTAGTTTGATAAAATAATACCAACTGAAATAAGTCTAGAATTTTATATGGCAGCAGAGATAAGCTCTTAAACAAAAGCAGTGGATACTTAGCCCTTATTAAGAAAAAACCCTGTTTGTTCCTCATTTGCAGAAAGAAGCATTTTTTTGTTAACATCATCATGCCACATACATACAAAGGACCTGACTACATGGCAGCCAGGCCCGCTCCTTTGCAAGATTAACTGAATTGTTGCTTGTTGACATGATTATAAATCAGCATGAATTTAGGAGAAAGAAAAGTTTACATTTCCACTGCAACAATAAAGGAGCAGCTCAAGAATGATTCTGTATACTACTACTACTCCTTCTCCCTAAGATGTTTCCACTTTAGATGTGTTGCCCAGCAACCAAGCCTCTCCGCGTCTCTGCCATCCCAATTCTCCTCCTCCTCAGCTTCTTCATTCATAACTTGTTTTTCTCATCTAGATCTTAGCCTCATTCCCCTTTTACTTTCATGTCCAAAACTTTCTTGGATTCTCACTTCATTCTCGAAACATGTCCATATAATCCTATTCTTGTCATCTGATAAAATGGTGGGCCAGAGAGTTTTAATCAGAGATGCTTTTCTTGTGACTGACACTTAACAGAAACTGTACTTATCCTCCATTTTTAAATTTCATTTCATTCTATGATGAAGTGAAGTGGGAAAAACATGCAGTCATATGATTTTTAATATCAATTCAGACAATCAAATTTCAGACTTTAAGAGTGTAATTAATGGAAAAGAATGTGTTGGCCTGAAGATGGGTTTATAAGCTAAAACATAACACAAGTGAATGGAATACAAAACATTAAGTGAAATTGTTATGTACAGACAAATAATAATAATTTAGAAAATCCCACAACATGATGCTCCTGTATAAACTCAATCTTTTCTTTACATTCCCTCCAATGTTCTTATTGCACCCTCACGTTTTGGTTTTGCTTCTGTACCCCTTAAAAATCTCATCTCTGTTGCCGTTATTCTACTTTGTCTACCTCGGTCCAAGTCCTTGCTCCTCCTCCATTATGTTAATGTGACGTATTCTCACCTTCTTAGGCATATCCCATTGTCAGATTATGCCCCCCAAAACCGGTAAAGTTCTTTGCATTTTTTATTCTTTCTGCATTTTTCATTTTAATGCCTCCATTTATCACTGTTTTAAGGTTGCTGAATTTTCAAGTTATAATTCCAGACAATAAGCCAGTTATTTATAAATATGTTTGTATATTTATAGAACGTTAGTAGGCAGACATCATTTAGGTAACAGAGAAAGTGGAATAATGGTAGCAGCATATGTTTGCAGGACAGACAGTGACATTTCTACCAACACGTTTCAAAAGGAGTGGGAGGAGAGGAGAATTTGTTTTGAAATCTGGGACAGGCTATAGACAAGTGGGCATTCAGCTTCATGCTACAGCCACTTTAACCAAAGCATCCAGTGCCCATGGGGCAGGACACTGGGTGGGCTCCATACTCGATCTGGATGCAGTGGCAAGGAGAAAAGTCACTGCCTCTGCCAGCAACGAAACCTTTGTTGACCAGACCACAGCTTAGTCATTATACTGACCAAGATATACCTGATCCTACAACAGAGACAGTTTCGTAAAATGTTGCAAGGAAATAAACAAGATCTACGCAAACCTCGGGTAAACTCACTTCTAATAAGCCTAAAACCTGAGTTCACAAGTGTGCGACGAATGACCAGAGGCGTAATGGTACTCAACTTCCACTTCATGTGACGCTGAATTTCAGCTGGAAGAGCTTCACCTGGTAAAGAAACAAAGATATTTTCAGTTCTCGACCCTAAGAGAGGGGCCCGTATAAAGCAACATGAAGAGTCAAACTATACAGCTACTATGAAAAAACACATATTTTGCTCCAGGCAGGCTATAGCTGAATCTGGTAGAAATTCATGGAAAGAGAGAGAACTGCTGGTTTTGACAACTAATTTACAAAAGGCTACACAAACTTACCCCTGACGTCATGCATGGAAAAGCGAATATATGGAGGAACATGTGAAAACAAGCTTGGCCTCAGACATTCTGGCAAGCCCTTTCCTTCTATCACAGATGAAACTGGAAACGATGTAAAATACAACATAACTTTAGTAAAAATACACATCTTACAACTTATCGATAATTTCTGATGCCTTTGCTTATCACTTACCTTTCTTATGAGCATGATCATTCAGAGAGATTGATCGAAGTGACTCCCCCACTACTGATGGTGTATTAGAATCAGTGGATACAGTCGTTAAGCTGCTAAGCACAGACTGATCATCTGCTGAAAAAAACACATTAATATAACAAACTATTAGAAAATAAATTTATTTAAAACTATTAATGACTGTCCAAACGTCCTTTGCAGGATCGTGTTAGAATCTTACTGTAAAGCAACGACAAATTAATGCCTTCTAATTCTTTTTCTGTTAAAAAAGTTACCAAGATACCCATATCAGCGCAGTCTGCAACTGCCATCACTGACTTCGCCCAGTAATTTCATATAAATATGAAATTAACCTTGGCATAACAATGTTGGGTAAAATTCTGTATGCAGGTGGTGACAGAAATATTGCTTGGTAATTAATGGTCGGTTTTATTGCTTTTTTCATAAATAGGAATAATAATATATTCCTTCGACTGCTCTGGAAATTTGTCTTCATTCTGTACATAATTTAAAAGATTATGGATCTAATTCAGAATAACACAGTTCTGACAGAATTTGATCAATTTATATGTTTTCAAATTTTCAGTAACGACCTCAGATCACACAAGACAAACATCATAAGTTTATCACATTCAGGTGCTTTCTAAAATGAACACATGAAATATTCAAGTATTTTGTACCTTCCTCACTGTCTTCCCCTTGTTCTCCTTTGCTGTCTCCATCTTCACCACTGCCACACGTCCGTTCACTGGATAACGTATTGAAATGGAATTAAACACTCAACAATAATAATTACTAAAATCAGTTTTTAAAGAAAAGAAAATAAAAAAGAAGACAGAAGACACAGAAAAACTATGCCAAGCAAAGAATCTCAACACATGAACATACACTAAAATCATCATTACAAACAGAAGAGGACAAACTGGAGCAGACAACGGCAGACTTGCAGCACACATCAGCCTGCTGCCACATTCAATCCAAGAGAAACTAATTCCACGAAGCACAGTCACTCAGCTGACCATGAAATTAATCACCTTCCGTGGACCTCACAGTTTCCTTAAAATACTCACAAAAGCCGGACGAATGAATCCAGTCCACATCTTCAAACACCACTTGTTTAAGACCCATTAAAATATCTTTCTATTTATGCCTGGAACCCAAAAGGGGTTTCTGTCACTGTAGAATGTTAAGGCATTTCACAAATGAGAATCTGACTAGCACAGAGGTCAAAATCCTCTTTTAAAACACGGTACATCTGGGATCATCTTATGTTTTAAATGGTGTTAGATTTACCTATCAGCGAAGTCCGAGTCAGATGATAGGTTTGTTTCATCGTCACGTAGATCTGAAGAATGTTTTCTGACTGCTGTCTTTGAAGATGCTGGGAGATATAAAATCTGTAGAAGGAAAGATAAATTATGTAACACCAGCCTAAACCCCTTCCTCAAACCTATAAGTTTCAAAAATTAATTTGATTTAAAGATTCATTACACAAAGTTCAATAAAAGACCTAAACCTAAAGGGTAAACAATTAGAGCCCCCCAAAAATAAATATATAAAACCCAATAAAGTGGCAAAGTTTGGACACTGTAAATTCTTTGCATAATATTCTTTACATATAAATATATTTTTTTATTTTTCCTAAATGGCAAATTTAAAAAAATAGACGGTAAATGACAAAAATATCAGATTTCAAACAAAGTTTCATAAAAATCCATTCAGTTCTTGTGTTGAATAAGCAAAGGACAGACATGGCTGGCCCTACATGCATTTATTTTGTGCACCCTGTGCAAAGAATGCATAATTAGCAAATTCATCAATACAATATGGAAGAGCCAAAGGGTGCCTAAAAATACATTAATAACAACCAAGTAAAAACAATTAGCAATACGAAAATTAGGAGGGGTGGGGGTAAATTCTGAGTTTCTATCCCACAAAGGAAGGAAACTACTGAGTTAGAATGGGGCGTTGTGCACAAGCAGTTCTCGGTTCCAATTCAATGCAATACATAGGCCAGATTCCACGTTTTCCATTCAACAGGTCGCATTCTGATAGAATAGGGGGATAAGATTTTTTTCCTTCAAGGTCTACTTATAAGGAATTATATTTCTGTACATGCAAATATTATGAACATCTGACTAACATTACTTTTACAGTAATCCTGCATGCAGACCCTTAACTTGCGGTGTATGAAATGTACTGATGCCAGAAGAACAAGACAAGCATAGGAACACACACTCCCCCCACCAAGACGTGACTACACTTTGCTACTTTTGACCAATTATGCCAGTCATTATGAACTCACCTTAGTGTCATGCCCTCTGTGATCAGATGATCTGTGTAAATGTATTACTTGCAAGTGACCGCTATGAGACTCCGAGCCCCGTAATTGACGCTGACCATAGGTCGAGTGTTTGGTATCTTCTACGTAACAGTTCTGCGTGAGACATGGAGAACCATCTCGGGCACGTTTGGGCTCCCATGAACTATCTTGACCACAACCACCAAAACCTGCTCCAGGTTCTGACTCGCTACGCTGGCGCAGCCTCTTCCCATCCACGCTGCCTCGCAAGTCTCGTAATTTGCTACCAAGGATCTCCACCTCATGAAGATAGCAGTCCTGAACTGAGACAGTGTCCATCATGTACTGCTGTCTTGATGGGACAGTCCCCCCATCATCATTTAGTGGACATGACTGATCACAATCATAATTTTCAACTTGTCTTGCGGTAAAGCCATGCACTGACTGCAGGTGATTATCAGTACTATCTCTGTTTGCTTCTTGTGATAAATTATTTTCACCATGATCATCTAATTCAGTCCAAGCTTGGTTACAAACTACACCATTTCTTTTAACAGTATCACAAGACACTTTGGTGTGTTTCCTTGGCAACAAACCATTTAAATTTTGTCCTCTATCAGGGGATACGTCACCGTGTGTAACATACGAATTACTGACATGTTTTGGGTTCTCATTTACATTAGGAAGCAGTATGTTATGAGTTACGTTGACACTGTTACCAAAACGTCTATGTTGGTAACAAGGGTGGCCCATCGATCGAAAACGATCTTTTGACTTCTTCACTGGAACAATGGTTCTGTGATGTTCTATCATTCCATCTACATCCATGGGTTGACGTAATGATGTCTGGTGTAAGGTATCTTTGGGTAAATGAGACTGATGGCTATTTGTCTGCCTGACAAACATACGAGAATTCTGTTGATAACTGCATAAGTCATACTCCTGAACCACTTTCTTTCTCAGATGCTCAGTATCATACTTTGAATCACACAGTCTATTACGCTCCCGAAGAGGATCAGCTTCCAGACCCTCGCTTTTGCTACGCCTTCGTCCACATCGAGGACCTCTATAAACTTCGCAAACTGGGCACCAATTGGCATATTCAAATTGACACTGATAATAATTTGGATTGTTGTGTGTAGCCCCAGCACAGCTGAACTCATCCTGTGATTCTGAGTACAGATATCCAGGGTTAGAACTATTTAAGGCCACTTTCTGAACCACATATGGAGTTGCCATTATCCTCAGATTAATTTAATGGCACAGTATTGCCATTTATGTCTATCCTCTTGTGTTCCCTTACACCAGCATTCTGAAATAAATGTGGCATAAATTAATGAAACTCTGAATAAGGGAGAAGAAATGGTTGGAAACTTAAGGAAGCGAGTAAAACAAAACATCAAAAAGACAGCGTTCACTGCAAACTTTACTCACAGTTACAGAATTTACATGGACTGTTCAACAGGCTCCAAACATAAAAGAATAATTCAATAAAGTATTGTATACACAGGTGGGATTTCAGAAAATTGTACCATATCTGGTTACCAACGTTGCAAACTAGTTATATCAACCGTATGAGGTCTCTTGAACAGGCAGTTTGATTTCAGTTTTTTTTGTTTGTTTTTTCCCCCTCCAATAAACTTGAGAAAATTTTTGGAAAAATAATTCCAGTAAAGTATCCAGGCATGGCAGAGATGCTGGGAAACAGTGGACAACAAAATAGTATTTGAAGTCCAAAAAATCATTTGAATGATGGCAGGTGTTACAGTCTCTGCTGTAAAGGACTGTTTAAGAAACGATCCATCCCAGCATATCAGTAAATTCTTACTCTTGTTATGGTCGCTCATTGTTGACAACATAACAATAGTTTCAAACTAGTTCAGACAAACACAATGCATGTGCTCCATAAGTATGATTTGCACAGATCAAATACTAACCTCAGTACACTCTAGAAACAAGTGTACAACACAGGAATCAAGTCATTCAACAAGCTACCATCAACAATTAAAACATTATCATCTGGGTTGCAATAATCCAAAAGACACCAATCTTCAGACTTACCACTGTGAAAACCTAAAATCCTTCCAAACATTATCACCCTTCTACTCAACAGAAGAACCCACTTTGATTGAAAATTCTCAATATAAACATTTATGAAGATAATATTTCTTCAATATACATCCTTGAACCGTTACGTATAATATCTATAAAATAAATAAATTATAATTCTAAATATATTTATTAATGGAACCAATCTACTTATATGTGAGGACTCATGGTGTATTGAGTTGACATGTTTCTCATCTACAAAACAAAATTCATATTCAAAGAAAATGTAACAGGAAGAAAAATAACCACACAACAGGTCAGAAGTAAACTGTCTTATAAACCTTTCCAAAGTCTATAATCATATACAAAATGAATGTAATAAAATCAAAACTACAGAACCCTTACCAAATTCTTCAAACAAAAACACGAAATAATATCAAACCTAATTCCTCATCTACAAAAGACGAGCTTTGACATCAAGCCTTCTATTAACTACGTAAATTGGTTAAACCTTCCACTAATTATGTTAAATCGTGCCCTATTGGCAAATAAACAGTGAATTTTTAATCCAGGCAATATTATCCGTCAACACCTCGAGTCAAACTGAAGTCCACCGGTACCTAACCTTAAATAAATTACTGTTTGCATATTCTTACTTTACCGGCTTATGTATGTTAATCATGTAAGTGTGTATTATGTAAATGAACAGAGGGGGAATAAATAAACAGCCATGAGATTGGTTAAATACTTCAAATACAAACACGTTGGAATTCAATGTCTGCCATGATATTAAACTAGTACAGAATCAAACGTTCTCGATAGAAGTGTGCTGAAAATGTATTAAGTCAAGAATTATAACGCCTGAGGTGACTTACGTTTAATTCGATACTGATCGTGCCCTAAACTAGCGCAAGTTAAACTAAATACTTACTATGATAACAATGACCGGATACAAAATCTCATCTCCCGCATCACGTTCCATACGTGAAGGTAGGCAAAATTCGGAAATCGATTCAATTGTTTTACACAATGTGACCAACACAGATAATACCAACATTTGTATAACATTCGTTTCAGTTCGTTTCCACGACCTCTTTCTTACGTACACAAAATTTTCTATATAAATTGCAATATGAACAACGTTCAAGAAACACGTTCATTATCGAAGTATGTATATCCATATACGCAAAAAAATAGAAATTATTACGGTTGTAAAAACTTGCAAGGCATTATAAATTTACGTCGTTGAGAATCACGAGAAACGTTTTGCTTCACAGATACACAGACAGCGAGATTTGGGGTATTACCGCTATGCAGGTCTGGCACTCTTGGGGGCGTGCAGGTGTACGAATTGAATTTTAGGCGTTAATTCATGCGCAATAGTCTGCAACAACGAAACTGTGGCTTTAGTTATATATCGACACATGGTAATAGTGGTTATATATCACGGGAACTGGAGTTTTCCTTTTTCTTGATGGGCAGAACAGCTTTGTATTTACACACTACCGACACAATAAAAGATTTTTAGGGCATAGCCGAGCATTATTGCTCGTGTTCGGAAAGATGTAAGTACAAGTTCATGTGTTTTTGAAACTGTACTTATTATCTAGAGAAACTGTTCCTGCCACAGTTTATGAAACTTTTTAATTTAGATTCATACGTCTCAATTTTTCGAAGTTATTCCAACCAAAGGCATCGACAGAGTTATTGAAGACGCTATCTTGCTCACGTAAAAGAGGTTTCCGTTGTTAAGAAATACGTAATCTAATAAAGAACAAAGATAACGCACTTGTGTTGCAATTATTGTCTTATGTTCCACGTCTTTCAATGAAAAACAATTAAAGATAGAACGCGCGACATTGAATTTCTAGATCACTTAAATTATTTCGCCAACTTGTAAGTGGAAAATTACCCACGACTTTAATAAATACGGGCATGAAAAGAACTCTTGCATAATTTACAATGAGAACAGGCGGGAGATTTGAAAAATGTGTTTTTGTATCTACACGTTTTGTATCACTTCCCGTTACTTTTTTCAGACTGTGACATTCCGTTCCCACTGAACAGGCTCCGGCCAGGCCTGTATACTATAAGCTCAAAATATTATGCCATAGTTGGCAGCGCAGATGGCCCATGATGTAACAAACACTGTGCTGCCATCTATCCTCACGTTGTGAATGTGACGACCAGTCAACGTCGATTATACAACATGCTCCTCCGCCACACTACGTGAATAATAATAATAAGTCGCTCAAACAATGTTTGGCCAACAGATTAGGGAACTTAAAAAATACCGCCATTCAAGGAAGACCATACAACATTCGAAAGACGCCAATGTAAAATATATAGTAACGCATCACAATAAATCTATATAATACATGTAACACATTAAAAGAATGTATTTCAGAAATGGCTGTTGCACTAGCTATCTCAGGGACAAGGTTTATCTCAGGTACATAAAAGTAGATACCCTGTAAAATGGTGAATGAATGGAATTTCTAATAAAAATAATAATAAACAGGCACAATTTTTTCAAATCTCCTGGGACATTAGACCGTGAGATCTGGTAGTGTTCGTGATCTGTGGTTGCACTTATGAAGAACTGCAGTCAGGCTCAAAAATAGCCCTTTAATGTACAGTTTAATCCACAAACAGGCGTCTGAAAATGAATGAGACAGACTTAATTTCTCAAAGTGTCTAAGCCTAACAGATGACGCATTCATAAGTGTCCTGCTGTTTGTGTTATAAGAACATCTCTATTGTTGGACGTGTTCCCTGCATATGAACGCGAAGTGCTAACTAGCAATGCCGCAGTAATGTGCCTTCAAATTTCTAAGACTCATCATCAGAAACATTTTCTGTTTCAAATCACACGGATTTATTCATTGGTTGTGGTCGCTATACGGACGCCATGTCCACTTAACACCGGGACACGTACACATAAAAAGAGAGAGAGAGATAGTGTGATATTACGGGAATCACCGCGTTGCAGGTCCGACGAAGTTCAGTGCAGCGTTGGTGATTGTTCGTGTGACGACGAAACTGTGATTAACTATAGACAAGCATTGTTTGTAAGTTTAATATTTACAGAACAATAATAGAATGTGAAGTGTTTTGGGTAATACTGGTTGTAATTCTTATGAACTAGAATTTTTAAGTTGAGTCGCCATAAAAAGAATCCGCTCAACATAGGATCACACAGAGTGTGATAAAAGGGGAATCACAGCTTAGCAGTTCTGACAGTTCAATGAAAATCTGACTAATTAGAAATCGACATATTAAGTAAGTTTGATATTTAGAGAACGAACACAAAACAACCATAAAAGACGATGAGTTATGTGTAATACTGGTTGTATTTTATGGCTACTGGTGTTTTTTTTTTTAAAAAAATTGATTTGTAGAAGTTTCTAATGTCAACAAACTACACGAGATAACTGCCGAAAATTTTTGTCAAGCTGGAAAAAGAGACATAAATGTTTTTGAAATTAATACCTAAAGTATTTGTTCATACATTTTATGGAACTTGTTAAATTTCTTATCGAACTTGTCTAAATTTTCAAGTTAATACATCGATAATTATCGATACGATCAAGATGTTATCTTCATTATGAAGTGCATATATCTTTTCTGAATTTTTTCCTGATACGAAATTAATAAACTAAGTAACAAAAGATGATCGTGAAAGAGGCCAAGGTTCATCGTGGACTGTAGTGCCTGTACAAGAAGAACAATGATAGATAACATTAAATGTTCCGATGTGTGATTACCGTGTTCGTACTTCAAACGCCCTAGAATTATATGTAATTAACCGTTTACATTCCCCTCGTATGTAACAAGAAGTCTGTCTCTCGCATTGTTCTCAGTGTAAACCAGTTATTTTCAAATTTTGGAATGGCCGTTAAATTTATCTTTGCAATTTTGGCGAGGTGTTTTCTTAGCTGCACGGACTGAGTTATTAAACAATATTTCGAAAGGGATACAAATGACACGGAATGAGAGTAGACAAGTTTTACACAGAGGAAACAAATTACTTTAAAGAAATCGTATCTTTGATACATCAGTAACACATGCCATATGCTGGTAATAAATGGATATTTAACAGTTACGAAGTGCAGAATCTTCATCCCGAGTCTGTGCAGCCTTCGATCACTTCGGACAGCCCTCAGCTGGTGCACATTTTGTTCGAACCATTAAATGGAATTTTAATTATTTAATAATTTAATTGTGTGACTGTCATTATGTGTTAAGCATTTTAAGCCTTCAGTGAGTGTTTTGTTTTCGAATAGGACTTTTGAAGATTTTTGAAGACTTACAAAAAATTAGTGCAATGAAGAGAGTACTGATACAGGATGACGACAGAGATCTGTTTAGTGTTCCATTGCAACCCACTGTCTATCAGTACTATTCAGAGAACAAAAAAGAAATTCACAGAATGGTGAAACAGCAGGTATGAACACACACACATTTATGAAAATGTCCTGCACGGCAAATCAAAGGTGTAATACTATTTGAGGCAGAATGTACACAAGGAACCATTCAAATTAAGAACTTTTTAAAGTATCGCAGTTTCAGGCGTTAAAAAAATCTTTTACCCCTGTTTTTATGAAAATGTCCTGCATGGCAAATCAAAGGTGTAATGCTATTTGAGGCAGAATGTACACAAGGAACCATTCAAATTAAGAACTTTTTAAAGTATCGCAGTTTCAGGCGTTAAAAAAATCTTTTACCCCTGTCTGGGATCGAACCCCGGTCGTCCAGTCCGTAGTCAAATCACTGTACTCACTGTGATGTATTCAGCGTAGAATTTATTATTTATTGGAATTTGTTAATACTGACAGTTGAAACATTTTCTGTTGTTTTGTGCTGAACGGCCATTTTGTTTTTCTGTAGCGTGCCGGATTTTGGATTCAGTTTGTGACTTCTTTCCGTTCCTTTATCACAAATTTTTGGATGTATGGACATGCCAGCCCCGAGATCAATGAAGAGGCGTTCGTTGACATGCTAAAACTGCTCACAACAGAGAATAGGTGAGGAATGTGATGAACCACACACTTTTTCTTTAATTCTAGTAAGGATCGGTTTATACACATTGAATCTGTGCTTTCATATAATTCTGACGCCTCTCCTTTGCAACACCAATCCTTTGAAATCTTACGACAGCAAAATGAGTTAATATTGACCACCAGCCGAGTGCACCCGTGCCACTGCCGGAATGGCCGTGGAGAATCTGTTAAAAATAAAGACATGGCCCCGAGGGACGTGAGCTGGGTTAGTGTCGATGACATTCGAATGGTTTTAAGTTGACCACATTGAGTCAGGCCGTGAAGTACTGAGTGGCACTGAAATTGCGAAGTGTGCGCGAGGGCAGTCGGGAAACAGGTACATGTGTCGTCGATGATGAGAAACATTAGTCGAACAGCTGAACTTCAGTGACCTGAAAGCTTCTTCCAGTGAGGTTTCGAGTTGTCTGTACTTCATTATTATGGACGGCATTACGTCTGTCGTACTTGCAGTGGAACCTGTAGATGCATTGTTAATAAAATGTGCCTGTGAATTTTAATTAAAATAACATGTATTTTTTGGTGTATTTGTATGGCAAATTGTTACATAATTAGTAGATACAAATGGAATTGTGGATTATCCATGACAGTTCTCCCTTTCTTTACCATGGACAGTCAAAGAGTTTTGCAGAATGCTGATTATGTTCATTCACAGTATTATTATATCCAACATTTTATAGCGTATTTACTTCTGAGTACCTGAGACGAACCTTGCCCCTGAGGTACATTTTGTTTTTAATAAGTGTTACATGTATTATATAGTTTTATTGTGAGGCATGACTATATATTTTACATCGGCGTCTTTCGAATGATGTATGATGATCCTAGAATGGCGGTTTTCTGAAGTCCCTATGTCATGTTCACCCGGGATGTGGCCAAATATGTTTTGAGTGACTTGGAAACAGTCTCAGTTGCTCCTATAATTACTGAGAATACTTTTGCTTATTGTTGTTATTATTATTCCTTCCAGTTTCACAGGATTCATTTCACTGATTGAATCAATCAAGAGACTATATACATGTGTGGGATCACTAGGCGGTGAGTGCCTTATTCGTAACACAATGCCATTCATTAATCAATGTGCGCTTGTCCTTGAGATGATTAATACATAGTGAATTCTTTCCTCCCCCAGTGTTCTCCATGCCTGTTACAGCGCAACAAATGTCAGGATTCAGCAAGGTAATATATGCATTAAATTATACCATAAAATTAAAATTGAGAATACCAAAATTTGTTTTTGTCCTGTAGATGTACTGAATTATGGGCCCAGTTAAGAGACGTATGTAACAGATAGGATCCTGAAATGCTATTAATAAGTGCTAATCATTTTACCAACTTACTAGTGAATACAATAATATAGAATTCTAAAGGAACTCCATTCTTGCAGAACGTCGGAGCTAAAATTAATGTTGTCTGTGTGGTTTATCATACAGTAGAGTGTTAAAACGTCATATTATGGGTCTGCCTGGTGTAACTGATCTGTGGGGTTTAGCGGTTTATCCGTACAGCCAGATGTACCGCACACATGCAGTCTGTACGTACCATATTGTAACCGTGTATGTGGGAGTGGGGGTACAGCTCCAGGCATTCAGAACATCAGCACTGGGAGAGTAACGAATAAACAGCTTCATACGTCTGTGTATTTTGGTACCTACTCAATAGGTGCCAGTGTGGAAACATAGTTACCTTCCAGTATTTTCAAGACTTGGCATCAACCAGGAACCCTAGGATGATGGAGGGAGACGCAGTCTCTAAGGCACTGGAAACTCATTAATTCCAATTCACATGGCTAATCATCTGAATAGACTCAAGTCTTTGCTGTTTACAATTACTATTATGTCTCTGATAGCTGCTTACATCGACATTTATTGGCTACACAGAATTTTATTCTGCGATTAATGAATTAGAGGCATGCTATTGTGACATGCAGCTGGCTGAATGTTGCACAAGCTGTGATGCAGGGCCAGTAAAGGTTAATGTAGTCTCTAATCTGTTTTTGTTCATGTTGAATATTTTATCTGATATCCTTTGAATTTTTAACTAATATTTTATCAATAAGTATTTAATATATAATTTTCTAATGTTTCATATTAGCCATTTGTCACATTTCCAATCTATTCGAGATTCGTGAATTCTGTGGTGGTAATGTATCTTCGTTGGAAACATGCTCCTCGAGTCCGGGCACGCACTCCGCCAGCGGAGTGGACTCCCCCCGCTCACTGGAGTCAGCCAAACGGTCGTGGTCCAAGTTCATATGAGCGCTACCTCTATGACCGTTGGGGAAATGAGCTGCACAGCCTGATTCGTGTGGAAAAGGACTTGATGAAGTTCTTCAATCCCCAGGCACGTCTGACCGTTTCACGTCATGTCGGTGTTTCTACTTGCAGTGCTGAAATAAGTGCATGAGTTTTAGGTTGGTCTGCACAAACAGGCCAGAAATTACCAAGTATCAATTAATGTCTCATATATTTGGTCTGTAATTCAGAGTATTAAACCTAAAACTTACTCTAAATTTCCTTATAATTTCCATTCCTGTTGGCATATAGATGCACCATTTAAAATGCAACCCAACAACAACAACGTATCGTGGTACAAAAATAAATTCAGAAGCAGTACATTCATCATTAATGTTCCATGGTTTTTATGTATCGTGGTACAAAAATGAATTCAGAAGCAGTGCATTCATCATTAATGTTCCATGGTTTTTGAATGAACTCCTATATTTTTCAGCTCCGCTTGCCGGGTAGGACCGCAAGCTTCCGACATCTATTTAGAACTGATTACACGAAGCACTTGCTTTGTGAAATGTCAGAACTTTGTTGTTATGAGGAAACACTTGGCAGTGATTTTAGAACATTTCACCATCTCAATACTCGAAATGTTGACTCTAGAAATGTTTATTTTGTATGTTCTTTATAATGAAGTACGATATCAAGACTTAACCAAACCACATTTCACATGTGATAATTACAAGATCCTAGTTGCCAATTCCACTCTTAAAATTGTAAAGAGTGCAACTGTGTGACTCGATTGCTTGTGTAAGAATCACATTTATTATTCTTTGATTACCGCCAGAGTGACGGCTCATTAATCTGCTTCACACTGAAAGATGATGTCATAAGAGTATTTTCGATTTACTGTGTCTTGGTTTTTTTTTTGTAGATAATCTGATTGCAGAACTTTTTGACTCTAAGTGTGTAATATGTTCAGTGAGAAAGTTAAAAACTTGTTCACAAAGTTTGTCAAACTCGGTATGGTCTTTCATAGAGACAGTCAAATGTTTATGATTTATTTGCAGGAAATAGATGACACCAGTAATGCTTCTTCAAGCACCAGTCAGAAGAGAATGGGTACTAACTATAACACAAGTCCGAGGAGAAATCAAAAGAGAAGTCGTAGAGATGCGAATAGAAGTGGCAATGTCCGTCAGAAACAGAAGGAAGAAACTGTCCCTCCGACAACCACCGGCAATAACGGCAAAAGAAATGACACATTTAGGTATGACAAGCTTTTCAAATTTAGCAGCAGGAGAACGAAAGATGGTGATGATCAAACGAGTGGTACGTCATCGTCTGCAGTTGAAGCAAGTGGTAATGCGGGTGTGACGAGGAAAGATGCCACTTTCAGATATGACAAACTGTTCTGTTTCAGAGAAAAGAAAAATTCAGAGAGTAATGTACTGAGTAAAAGCACTGCAAGAAAGGAAAATAAAGAAAAATCACCTCTTCCTGCAGACAAAGAAGTGGCCAGTAACAAAGATGCAACAAACGAAACTGCAAATGATCGTTCCTTCAGGTACGACAGACTTTTTAATTTTAGCAAAAAGAGCACTACAACTCAGAATGAGACTTCAGAAGATAATGATAAATCAGATGGAAACAGAAAGAAGGAAACTGTGCGTCAGTGTAAAGAAAAAGAATTTACCACTAATGCAGACGAGACGAAGAATGCCGGAGGAAAAGACTTCTTCAGATATGACAGACTTTTTAGCTTCAGCACAAGGAAGCAGAATCTTCCAGCCAGTTCAGAAAATGTTTCTACCCTCGACAGCAGCAGCAGCAGCAGCAATGCAGATGACTTGCATGATTCTGAGTATGATGGGTTCAGTGGATTTTCCAGAGGTATGTATTCCATTCATTTGTACATTTCAGTGCCTAGATGCTCATTTGAGATGTGCTTATAAATGTCTGCTTTACAGGAGAAGAGAAATCTATTGTCACCGTTCCCAAGGGCCGCGTGCCAAACGGTGAATCCCACTCCCTCTCTCTCGAAAGTGACTTAATTTGAAACGGTTTTTGAAAGTGAATATTTGATAAAATTCAGTGAAAAATAATTTTTAGTTGAATAGTGTGACGAGCTTTTCAACAACAGAATTGAGAATTCTTCTTTAAATATACTGTTCACTTCATTATATTAGCTGCCGAACCGTTGCTGGGCAGAAAAATAAATCTTTTTCTTTCATTACAATAAAAAGGTTCTCATGTAGCATGAGATTAATGTAATACAAAGTTGCAGTGCTACGTAATTCTGCCGGTACAGGACGACGACTACCAACAGATTTACTGTTTATGCTGCATGAGATTACGGTATGAATGAGTGGATGTTATTTATGAATAGAGCTGAAGAAACGTGACAAGGATAACGTGAATGTCAGTGTTGGGAAAAGGAACAAAACTGTGAAGCCTCGTTAGAATTATCACACTAGCAAATATTTAACTCGGAATCGTATGGCTTTCTCAACGCGTGATCCATATTGAAAAAGCTCTGACAGTGTTGAAGTACTCAGCAGAAAGAAGTCATCGCACTTTCCACGTCCTGTCGTCGTCTGACGAACCTAACAAAGATGTACGAGCTGCAGAAAATGCTCCATTACTGTAGATTATGGAGAATGAGATAAGTTCGTTTACAAGAACAGATTTGTAACATTTGTACCAGACTCTAATTTGGGACACTCGTTTCTGCTGTTGCATTTGTCATGAATTCTTGCTGCTGGTACCTTTACGCCAAAAGAGAAGAAAAAGCCGAGGGCTGGCATTTGTTATTGTTTTGTGTTTTACATTTTTTTCATCATTGTCAGACATTACAGGCGATCTTTCGTATTTATAAAAATTAAGTGCACTCGTACACCGAATCTTCTGAAATCTTACAGTTCTCTGTGCCAGATGTGATACGTCTTGCTGCCATAGCAAATGTGTGAGTGAAATGTTGGCATCTCTTCCACTTCAGACACTGTCCACAAATGAGCGAAAAGTTTGAGTGCAGATTTGCAATTTGGAGAATTCCTTATATTGAGATTAAACTGTTGTGAAGTAATGCTGATGAATGATGTGGTGTTTAAGTATTACATTATGACTTTACTATTTTTCGTTGTGCTGCAGATTTCTTTGGAGGACCATTTCAGCGTGGAAATTATGGGAAAATAATGCCGCAGCCAGTATGGAATTGTGAGTATGAAGTATTGTAGTAATGTGCCCACGTGTCCGTCCATCTGCAGAATTACTGACTGGGTTTTGATGATGCACAGCAACAAAGTGATTTATGACAGCTAAGTCACACAACAAAAATAACTGAACTCATGCAAATGTGTGATTACAATTATTTTGAGTGCATTTGTGTTTGATGTGTGTGTTTGTCTTTCTCAGTTTTAATGCACAAATGCAGCAACTGCAACATCTTGGAGAAGTCCCCTGGGATGTACAAGGCTTGCAAATTCTGTGTACAACACAGAGAGAGGGCACCAAACGTCTACTGCGGAGAACACTGCGCGAGTGAGTATGGATTTGTCTGTTGGGATCCAATAGTAATTTTGAACGTTCGTATTCTGTGACACTTGGGAATCATCCCAAAGAAGCAATTCCTTGTTTTATGTGGATCTGTGGTTTGTCTCGGAGGAATTGTCACATGCAGGCAGAAGCCACCCATAACCTGTCTCTGTTTGACATGTAATATTTGTGTTAAATTTGTTTCTTATGACTACCATCGAGTTAATCCACTGTTTCAATTCTTGGTTCCTTTTGTAGAGTAAATTGATTTCATTCTAACCCGTTCTTTCAGGTGCTCACTGGATGAGGCAGCATTGTGCCGATCATTTCCCATATCCTGGTATGATGTAACCTAGGAAATGATTGCATCTGTAGTTTATATCCTTTCTGAATGATTTATTTGCAAGTTACATTCGAAATATACTAAAGATTTATGAAGCATTCTATTCTACTTTAAATAAGTTTTGTGATACGATATCAATCTAGTATTTCCATGTGATACGCCGTGCAGTATTTAGAATGTGTTGATCCAGTTCAGGGTCTTCATGAAATGTAACCTTAGTTACCTGAGCTGTGACATAATTGGGTAACAAGTCATATATTGATGGCCGTGCTGTCTGGTAGAAGTTTGCCAACGTTTCAGAGGTCCTTGCTGCCTCCATCATCAGGGCACACCTCTGAAACCGTCTTTAGACTCCGTGCCGAGAAAACCTCATATCCTACTAAGTCATGTGTTAGTGTAATATTGTTTGTATTTAAAGTGTATGACTTGTTCGTATAATACGTGTAATGTATCATTTGAAAAAATGTTTGTTAGATTTTGGACTTGTGAGCGAGTGCATTCTTAGGATTTACAGGAGCTTTAACACTTTGAAGCTGAAAATTGTCTAAATATTCAGGAATGCAGTGTGACCCAGCACTGTGCTCCACCATTCCAAAGAACAGCCTGTATACGCTGTTTAAGGAAATGATCTGTGGTTACATTGAGAATCGTACAAAATAATGGGTTGAGAATTATAAGGAAAAAGGATTCATAAAATAAAAGTCTCTTTTTGTGTATGCAACTTCAGTTTCTAGAATTAAAAATTTTGTTCTCTGTGTCTTTTTAAGCAATAAAAGTCAGTGACCTTACAATTTAAAATGCAAGTTGGCTCTGCTTGGATACCGGACGCGCACGCGGAGGTCCTGAACAGTCTGCGGTTGTAATTTTTTTTTTACACCGTACAAAGCATTACTGTGACTAAAACTTAATATACTTCAAAGATCTATTACGAATCATAATTTTAGGACACTACATTAAGTGGCATTAGTGTTCTTCCCACCTCAAAAGTTCGTGCATCCATCGTGGCACTACCAATTGTGTAGCCTCCAATGACACAATGTCCAGTCCAGGTTTCATTAGAATATGTTAGCGGATCTTGAGATGGAACGTGTGCATGGACACGCAGATACGATCAGACTTATCCTTTCATTCAGTACACATGTTAAGATTGTACGTAAAAATCAAACTAAATTATACAACTCATTTAAATATAGAAAGAAGATTTGTGAACTTTTAATTTGTGATTATGTCATACACACTTTATGGAGCTATCAAATCTTCAGATTCTGATTAGGCACACAACTGGTCTAGAAATTCGCTGCCTTTTTGGAACCCCAAAGTTCACAACCTGCCACCAGACCCTGCACAAAGTTTGTTAAATTCATTTCACAACCAAATAAAATGAGAAAAAATTGTTTCATTACACAAATTTTTAGATACACGAGTGAGGAGCAACTCTGTATCACATGGTCCTTGAGAGGCTAATGGTATGCTAAGCTATCCAAAGAATTCCCTGCCTTTTATAAAACCGGAGATTACCGTGCTCACGAGAGCATGCAACCAGTTCCTGACCTGATCCATATCAATCCAATCCGACCCTCCAACTGGTATTTCTCTATGGTAAATTTTGATATCCTGTCATCTATGCCTTGGTCTTCCAAGTGAGATGCTCTTGTCAAAATTTTTAGTCAAAAGTTGTCAGTTTCTTATCTACTCCATGTGTGCAGAACTCATCCTCCCTGATTTGTTAATTGTAATATGTAGACTAAAATACAAATTATAGAGCTCCACATTATTCAGATGTCAACCCCTTCGGTCAAAATATTCAAACCTGAGTAACATTTCGTAACATGCTGCTGTCTTTGGGGGGGAGGGGGTAGCCCCTTAAACAATAGAGAAGCTGGAGGACTTTGAAAACTGGGGAATAACAAATTATTCGGAACAGATTTATTCCCCTAAATTTCATATCATCGTAATCTTTTTATGAACCATCGAGGGGGACGTTTTGAGCATAAATTACAATTTCAAACATTGTTACAAGGGACGGCGGACTACAAGCGTCAGCGATTTCTCAAGGTACGAATAGTGCTGCCTCTCCTGGCAATGTACTAAACTATGAGAATACAGAATCCGACAGACGAGAAGTTACTTGGCATTCGGCGACAGCGGACGACGGAGGTGTCGGGCAGGGCTGAAAGACACACGCACAGGTGAGAGAAATAAAAGAAAACTGTGACCTTGCTAAATATCCTCAGAGAAAGGGGTTATTCCGTTCCTTATATTTCGATATGCTTATTGGAACGGAGTGGTACAAAGTAATCTGCTCTACAACGTTTTTTTGGTGCAGAGCTGTCGATACCAAATTTCATCCAGATTAGTTTAGTAGCAGTTTTCGGAGTCTCGTGGGGAAATTTGCCAATGCAAGTCAAATTTATGCGTTGTTTAACACTCGTAATTTTTTAATTTAATTTTATTGATGTCAGTAGCTCCAACGAAAAGGCAGTGGTTTCCAGTTTGGGGCCCCGAACCCTTGGGGGGGGGGGTCCATGGGGGTATTTACAGTGTTTGAAAAGGCTCTAACGAAAATCGTACTGCATAATGTTTTCTGAGAGCATTGTTGGTGGCATTTTATTCGCGTGTTTACAAGTGTCACTGACTGAGTGCGCCAACAATGGCCATTGGTTGAAGACATCGCAAGTACGTGCGTCTGTGACAGGATTGGTGACCAAAAACGTGCACCGTAATCAGTGATTGACGAAGTGACAGCAGAAATTAAGCCAACAATGAAGTGTAAGTACGTTTGTGTGACACTTAATATTAAACCCCTAATAATTAAGGATCGTTGGTTAAAATCTGGATCAGCATTAAAACAAAACAAATTGGGATAAGGCAGACTGTTTGTCGGCGTCTTTTAGTGTTGTGCTGTCTAGGTAAAATGCTGATCACTTGTCCAAAGAGTTCTACCAATGTTTAAAAAATAGATCGAGTAACGTCCCAGGGACCATCAAGGGTTGTGAAGCCACGGATAATAAGTAGCAAGTGTGCGCTTTGGATTTATGTGCTCAGGACAGAAGCCACGGTGTAATTTGTTAAGAAACACTGCACAGCGCAAGTATGAGGCCAGCCGAATATCGCATGCATCTACAAAGAAATAACCAACACGTAAACCGGGACTTCACGCAAGAGAAAAATCAATGCAGAAAATATGTATCAGCTGTAATAATGGAAATGCTATCTTTGCTTCCTATGAGTCGACCTTATCGTAGCAGAGACTCGAAAACAACATCGAGAAGGATGAGAGACGCTAAAAACCAGCTGGTGGGGAAAATGCGCACTGAACAACGTTTCTTGCAAATGGACTCGCTGCACGTGACTCCAGACGTCACACTGGACGAGGCGGAGTTTAAAACTTTGTCAGAGTCGTTGTTACCCTAGTATTTGGTGAGAAGTATAAAGTGCGAAGCCCCTCCGTCTTATTACGTCTTGCACTCCGGTGACGACTGGTTTTCTCTGAGTTCGCTTCTACGTCGACCTGATCATTTGAGTTTAGTGGAAATCCTGCGTCTTCTCCGAGCTAACTCGACGAGAAAATGAATTCTTTTGTTCAACGCGAGTCGATCCTGATCGATTAAGGTACAGTGGTGTGATTGTGACCTGTCTGAATGCAGTTTATGACATGTAATGCAAGACTGTGATATGTTGCCCTGAAAGCAAGCCACTGGAACACATTTATAATTATCAGTTGATTTCATGTCATTAAAATGAACTTCGCTGTTGACGTACTGTCGTTTTTTTGGTTAGAATTCTTAAGGTCTCGGGTTGGCAGGATTTCTCGTGGCTCTGGAGAATTATAATGAAGCAAGCTTCCACGTCATTTCTAATTAGCAGTTCGCCATTCGAAGGAAATATTTATAAAGAAAACTTTACGACTAGAAAAAAACCCAAGATTAATCTACGCCATTAAATAAACTCCCATCAATTAAGTAGTTGATAAGTAGACCTAAAGCAGATTATCAATTAAAGTATTACAGCACAATGGAACACAGCCAAGTTTCCTCTTTCATTCCGTCAGCCATCTTGGGCAACCGCAGTGACGGAGGCGTCCTGGGGATTCCCCGCCCAGGCGCTTCGATCCGAAATTGGAAATTATCACATTTTATTAAGATCTGTCTGAATACCTTTCGTGGAAACACAAAGTTGGTTATCTGGTTCAGAAAAGTCCACCACTCACTCCACACCCTGTTAACCATACATTTTAATATTATCCCCCCCCCAAGTGCGCCTCGGTCTTCCACGTCGACAGGGTGCCGGGGAGAATATCTCGACGTAAGGGCAGTAGCCCCTCACTTTACCGGAGTTGCCGGAAGACGAACTTTCAAGGCATCCGGAAATCGACCCTGCGAGAATCTGCATTCGCTTGTTCTGGATGTACAAGACGTGAAAGGCGAGGGTTGCAACTTGAGCTGGAGCGACAAGGCTCCCACCCCGATGGTGTCTGTGCCCCTCAGCCAGATACCGACACGTAGAGGGGATGATAATATTAAAAGTGTGAAATCGTCGGCTGAGAACGCAGTAGTAAATCTTAAAATGCGCGCAAATTTATGATCGTCTGAACGACTATCAGCTTTTCAAGGACTGTCGGTTACAAGGATTAAAAACCCCCGCAAAGTTCAAAGGGTGAGGGAAGTGTTTTTAAAATGAAATGTACGCAGCGTCAGGCCGGTTTACCGGAGTCAAAGACCGGAAGAATAACTTTATGATTTGTTTTGAACCTCGCTTTCCTCTTGAAGGTTAAAAATAGAATTTGAACCGAAGGCAGAACAGAGCTTGCTCAGCCAACATCGCCACCCTCACGGTAGCAGCAGGACCCAGGGCAAAGGGAAATACTTTCTCCCTTTGTACGTCTCGTTCTGCACCAACCCCTAAAACTATCCTTCGTCCACGTCACACAAAAGCGACTGTCGTCTGTATCTGCGCGGTGAACATTCTCACTCACACGAGTCCACAGCCAAACAGCAGAATTCCTGGAATATTTTGGGGCCAGAATATTTACATTTTGAAATCAAGGTCCCTCCTGGATTTGGCAGGCGGCCATTTGCACCGCCGACTCCAATTTAAAAAAAACCCTCCAGTTTCTATTAGTGAATCCTAACCTGAATTGGTTCCAAAACAGCACGGCGCTGCATCGGACTTGCTTATAATACTCAACGGCACATTGGTATTGCCTGAGCTCCGCGGGTTTTAATGTTCTGTCTGCAATATTCACGAGCTGGATCTGACTAAAACATCGAGGGTTAGAGTCCACCTGAGACGTAGCAGAAGCCCACGTGACCACGTCGCAACGCTTGGAGTCTGATGAGGCGTCCTTTCAGCTGGTGTTTGATTTCAAGGTCACGCAAACGTGAGCGCGTCCTCGCCTTCCTCTGTCATTAACACAGAGCTAACGTGCTAAATGCTGGGCAGTGAGTGAACCCTCCCAGACAAGGTTCTGTGCCTACGGGCTCGAAAGTTACGCCGTTCTTGGGACAGAATTGTTCCTCTGCAGACGGCACTCCGACGGACGGACGGACGGGTTTTGGGCCGAAACTTAAACGGGGAACGCCCAGAACACGGAGGAAGAATGCTAACCATTGTTCAGCGATTTCCGGTGCTCAATCGCGGAGACGTTTTTCGGGTACAGAAAGCTGTATGGCGGCTGAGAGTGGAGTCATCTGTTTGCTTCTAGATTCAAACCGGGTGCCTTCCGATTACACAGCATCCCCTCTTCAGAATATGCAAATGAAGTCTATATTTAGAATTTCTCAGAAATACTCTGTCGAGTCCCAGAACCTGGTGACCGTGGACAGGAGAGGGGGCACGTGGTTCTGCGTAATAAATCAGCCATTTTAATGCCCCCTCCCCCCCCCCCCCCCCCCCACACAAAAGTAAGGGTGAAAGAACTCGGCCTAACCTATCTCGCGCGTTGCCCCAACGAAGACGACAGTGAAGTCGGAGCGACGGACTCTTTTACTCTCGGAGACACGCGAATCGGGCACGCAGATCCTTGCCCTCTGAGAACGCGACACAAGTTGATTTATAATTACGAAAGAGAATATACAGTTTCTTACAAAACTTCGCGGCACGCCTTTTGCAGAGTCCTTCAGGAGAAGATGACAGTAGCTCAACTGGCCCAAACATTCACTACTTTTACGAAATCCGAAAGATAATTTCAGTGTTAAAAATAGCGCCACTGGGTCCTATCGTGAGCCGACTGAATCCAGTCAACAGTCTGTAAGACTCATTTTAATAATATCCTTACATCCACACTTTGTTTCCCGACACGCGCAAATGTCTGGGAGGATGAATAAACACGTGTTTCTATTCTCGGCTCTTTCGATTTCGAGAGTTGGTTCGAGGCTGAAGGTTTTCCTCAGGCGCCAAATAGCATTTCCTGTGCTGTGATCAGAAGTTGTGTCGAATCAATTATCTACGACGGGCCGATAGCGGCGCGCGGCCTTGATCTTGAGGTCATTCAGACAGCCGAAGTTCAAGGGTCACTCCTCGGGACTTCTGTCAAGATAACGCACAAACACGTTCAGGCTCCAATGCAGAATTCAGGGACGGAGCACTGGATGGAAGCCGTCATGAAAGGACTTCCCTGTCCTCTGTTTTCCAGGGCTGCCATTTATATTACTTGATTTAAGAGCGCGTCAGCATCTGGAGATTCGCCAGAATCTGCTGCAGTCAATTTCGTTCCTGAAATAAAGACGAAGATGTGTTTGTTGTCTGCGAGGCGAAGAGTCCGGACGAACTTGAACGCGAAATTTTCGCTCCTGACCCCCAAGAGCGCGCATTAAAATTCTTCCACTGCAGTTGGCACTTGACATAACTGACGTCCGAGGAACTACGTACGGCCCAGGGTCTCTTTAAGATGTCCAGAGTTGCTCCTAAGCTAATGCACTTCTGCAGTCTTAAGTGCCTTATCACAGCTTCGTTATAGAGAGGAATTAATCCAACAAGAAGAGTTTACTTGCAGAGAATCGGCGTGACGCACTTGCAGCTTCGTTACAGAGAGGAATTAATCCAACAAGAAACGTTCACTTGCAGAGAATCGGCGTGACGCACTTCCTGCACGATCAACGAAGTCTCGACGACTTAACGTAATTTAAGGCCGTTGCTTCGTGGCAAAGTAGCCTCGGGTCACGACGACCTAACAGCGACTTTGTGTGTGTTAGAAAACATGAACTGGGACCACATCTGCTCGTGAATGTTGGAGTACTCGAAAGAGTACTCACTTCCACGCTCGTTCGAGACGGGGCGAAGGCCCCTAGTATAGACAGTCTAGGACGTCAATTAGTCGAGGTGGCTCGAAGAACGAACGTCCTCCTAAACCTGACGCCAGTGGAAAGACTGGGCCAGAGGACACGCCCCTTGGATGCCGACTTCATCGTCATCTTGGTGCCACTCAGTTTATTCGAGAAACCGAGACAGCGCGCAGTCTGAATGCAGATTAAATGCGGAGGAGGAAGAATATTCGAAGAAACTGCAACTTCAAGGCCAACTCATGGGGCATGGGCCTGCGCACTAGGCACATACGCGTCTGGTATCAGAGCTGCAGACGAAGGCCATAGGATATGCGCGGAGAAACAATTCCATCTTCAGGGAGACAAGTTTGTGAAACATGCCAGCTTACCACGTGCAACTTCAGTGATTGTTATAAGAAAATGCGAAAATTCAAGTCTTTACGCGGGAGAGTGAAGTTCGCCCCTCAACTCAGATCTAAATGCTCTAAAAACAATTTCAATAAGTCTGTTATTTTATCTTCCGGGGCCGATAATCGACGTCTTATGTAACACGACACGGCGGAGGTGCCACCTTTGAGGTTATGTCTGTAGAGCGGGCCCCAAGGTTTCGTTCAAGTGGTGAGGCCATCTGTCACCATTGCGCAGGCGCGAAGTGCGGCATCATGGCGTCACCCGACCCTTCAGAATTCCATACGCCTTACTTAAGACAGTCTTTCACACATTAATTTCATATTTCGTGTTGCGCAATCTCGAACGACGGAAATCGAAGCACGGCCGAAGTCTTCCGACTTCCCGAGATGTTGCGCCATTTGGTGTGGGAGATACTGACGGACGTCTCAGAGGATCTTGCTGCCTCCACAATCAGGGCGATCTTGATAAGGGGTAGTAAGCGCCTCTGAAACGTCGGTGTATATCTACCGGATACACGGTGCAACTTTCCAAAAGTCTCGTCGTGGTATTATAACTGAGCATCGGGGAAAATTTGTCATTCCATTGTCCTACAATCTCTAAGAAGATCCTAGCTTCTAAATTTGACTAGATTTAGAGGCTACCAGCGAATTTTAGTTTCACTTTCAGGAGAAATGGACGCTGTCCACACAGGAGACAGTGTGTTGTTGGGAGCGGATGCAAAATGGCTTCTGTTTGTTCGAAAGTGAGGGCAGAACACGCGCTGTGCACGCATGCGCAATGCAGCATTTGGTCCTCTTGAACTGCCTTTATTACGACTTCTCAAAGATAAATGCAGTTCCAGCAGCCAGGCCCTTGACCGTCAAAAATAATCAGAATGAGGTTAAAAAGGAGTTTATAGATCCGCCTCCAGATGGCAGCACCGTGCGGACGTAATGTATTTGCCAGCTGTCAGCGCCATTGAATGAATGCATTGCTATGTTGAGGGCCCATTTTTCTTTTAGAAAAATGAGGCTTCTTTGTTGGACATCCATTTTCGCTGCCAGACGACAAATCGTCTTGGTGGGAGACTAACGTCGATGCGAAGGTCAGATACGCGAATCGTGGAGAACACATATTTTAATGCGCGTTCTGAACTCGTACCAAAAACAATTGAAAAACGGATACCGAAATCTGCAGATCCTTTCAGTCGTGCCACCTGCAGCGTAGAGCGAGACGGAAAACGGAGGCAAAATTTATAATTTTCCTGCGTTATCTGTGATGACGTCATCCTACAATCTGACGCACGTTAAGCGCATTTTAACTCGGAGTCCACACCGCGACGACTTTCAGAAGATGTCTGTTTCCTGGGTTGTTGCGCTGCGTAGAGTCTGGCAGAAGTTTACGGACGTTTCAGAGGTGCTTGCTGCCTAATGACTCATCGCTCTGATGATGGAGGCATAAAGGACCTCTGAAACAACGCAGGAGACAGCAATCTTATTTCGGAAACTCTTACATGTCCTTTAAATGTGTTCAGAGAATCTGTCGATAGAATTGTGGGATTATGAGACGAACATTCAAACGCATTCCAAGGCATCTGAAATTTGGGTTGACCTCGAGTTGTTACTTGTGATCATTTTCTGCAATTTCTGATTTTTTCCGACGGGCAAAGCGGTCAGATAAAAACTATTCGTGCCGTGTGTTCACTCTCAGCTGTGAGCGATGTCACGTCATCCTCCGCTACACCAGACGCGTAACTTGAATCACTGTTGCGCGGAGTTAGTTTCATTATCAGTTGTCTTATTCTTGGTCTAGTACAGGGGTGGCCAACCCAAATGATCTTTCGGGCCACTTTGGAAATGCATCATAACTCCGCGGGCCACATATAAAATTATATATCCCCATATTAGATTTAGATACACTATAGACATTTTTTTGGAGTGAAAAATTGAAACATAATGAGTTATTATTATTGTGTTTACTATTATTCTTACATGTAAACATAGATAATATAATAATAATGATACTAAGCGTACATTTTGTAAAAGTGTGATGAATCTCGCGGGCCGGAAAAATGTTCAAGGCGGGTCACATGCGGCCCGCGGGTTGGCCACCCCTGGTCTAGTAGGTTTCGTCCTCCAGGCGTGCCCTTTCATGATTCCCGTTTCGCCGGTCATGTCGTCGTCACTCGACTGTGTTGTTTTAGGTCTAACTGTGCCCAGGCCTGAACATTTACGTATCCGGTCCGCGGGACATTTGTTGTCATAAGGCTTCTCAGGTTCGAGTCACACAGCCTCTTCTGTGCACCAATTGGCCACGCGGGAGAACGAGCTGCCGTCCCTCCTGGTTTCGCGGACCCAGCCAGAACAACAGAATAATTTCTTCTTCTCTTTGTTTCACAGATTCTGTTCCAAGAATCCATCAACATGAGGAGCGGTTTCTTCATCCTGACTCTCGTTTCTCTGTCCTTCGGATCGCCTCGCAGCGTCTCGTAAGTCCGGCGACGTAACTTCCGCTCAGACACTGACGAAATTAAAGTTGCTGCTGTAATTATTTTTAGCTTTGTGTATGTCTGAAGAAAAACTCGTTCTTTCAAGCGCTGGAGAAGCTGTCATTGCATTCATTAACATTTAATAGATATAAGGACAATTAAGCAAGTCCTTCGAAAATGCCAGAATATTTGGGCCTTGCCTTGGTCACACAACGGAGCGAAGCAACACGTTAGGCAACCCAACACACAGGAGCGCATGTATAATTGCCTACTTCTAAAGGCGGCTCAACAAGACGCCGCTTCAAACATCAAATAAAGAAATCTTAAAATCGGGTAATTAAATCAACGCGAATCAAAAGAAGTCAACATTTATCAGATTCGAAAAACAACAAATCTCTTGCAAAGAACTTCATCAATTATTTATGCTCGCTGTCAGAAAAAGAAACCCAACATAAATCGGATACGCGAAAAGGATTTTTGCGCGCCTTGTCACAATTCCGCGACGACTTCAGCGTACATGGGAGTATAATATTAAAACGAATCTTGGGGAAGTACGTTATGGAGGTGCGGTCTGACTCGACGACCTCAGAATAAGGCAACGGAAATTCTTTATCTGCCGAATGAGTATAAAATATTATGCAGGATGCGCGTAGTAAAGTTAAGTCCACGAAGGCCTCAAACCTGACTTTTCACAGCCCTGACATTTTTACCTGAAACTACGTTAATGTAGCCAAAACAATTGAATGTTCCGTTCGTTACGTATCCATGGTGAAGGGGACTGACTCCATCTTCGCCCCTTCGTCTCCCTGACGGGATGTGTCGTCCCTACTCAGTCGTGTCGTCATCAGCAGAGCGAAACCCACCCAGCCCCTGCTCTGTACCGGATACAACACAAACATGTTCCTTCTCAGTCACAAATTCAGCAACGAAATGTTTTGCCCTGTCTGTTCTCGAAATTCAGAATTTTCCAGACATTTCGGGCGAAATGAGATCTGAGTGACGGTCTTCTCGAGACCTCAGCCCCGAAGACGTACCTCTGAAACGTCGGTATGTACCTACAAGTCCACACGACGTTGCAACCCAGAACACCATCATCGACGTAAGAGATTCCACCAAACATGTCAGCCACAAACCACGGACGTGACGAGCGCTTGTCGGTGAATTTTATAAATTAAGGGCACTTCTAAGTGGGGCTCGTACCGGAAGAACTGAACCCACATAATTAAATTTCATGTCAATGCCAGTTAAATCTAAGGTTTTGATTAATGCCAAGCGCTGACATCGGCTCTTCTGGTTGTAATCAGGCACGAGGACATCCGCGACGCAATCCTGTCCCTGGTGAACATGTTCCGGGACTCTGGCGACAAGCTAGAACGCCACGAGTACAGGGAAAGGCAGCTCGGCGAGCAGCTGAAGAAGGCGCTCGTCGGTCTGGACAAGCGTCATCGAACGACGGACCACAACTTGGACGCAATTGCTCTGGTCGTGAATCGGTTGGACGACCGACTCTCCGGCATAGAGAAGATGATTGCTCAGGTAAGCGATGACACCTGGGAGTTCTTTGTCGGCTTTAGGACACAAAAAATGCCACGGAGATTAAAGTAAGATGCGATTATTTTGAAGATTATGATACTCACACATTTCTTATTTTTCTTTTCAGAGAGACGAGAGAGAACGTATTCAACTGCAGAAAGCTACAGACGCCATGGAGAACATCCAGAGTTCTTTGCAGGCGTGGATGAACAATGTCGGTGAAAAGATGCAAGCCTCAGGAAGCCAAGTTGAAGGACAAACCGAAGGTCCTGGGTTCGGTGCTCGTATTGACAGCTTGGTGACTAATGTTGAACACATAGAAACTCACATGCGCGAAATGAGTGAGAAGTCAGCGCACAACGAGGCCCTGAAACTGGCTTCTGAAACTCTGGCCAACACAGCGTCAAACACCGAGCGAGTACTGAGCCAGTACGAAAACAGACTCGCAGAACTGCAAGCAAACCCTTCTGCTGTCCAGACGCAGAATTCCCAAGACTGGCATCACATTTTCCTGGCCGCAATGGAAGCACACCAGAAAATATTACAAGATCTGAAAACACTGACAGAGAATGCGACAAATAAGCTCAGTACGCTACCAAACATTACTGAAGTAACAGGGATAAGTAACTCCACTCACGAATTATTACAGGAAATCCGCTACGAAGTGACAGCCGGCACCGAGAAAGGAGTCGCCAGACTCGATGCCAAGCTGTCTGAGGCACAGACCGTGCTGGGTCGTGGACAAGAGGACATGCTTAAGACTCTCACAGACACCGCGGTTATTGCAGAAGGGGTGTACGGAGACATCACAAGAAGCTATGAAGAATTGCTAAAGGAGGTGAGAAGATCAGGAGAAGTAGAAAGTGTTCTGATTCAGACCGCAGACAACGTAATGGACACAAAACGACGGATTGAATACGGCGTCCACCAGATCCTACTTGAAGTTGGTGACCTGGTGAAACTTCATTCCAAAGAACTTAACGCTACAATGAACCGGCGCTTCGACAATCTCTCATCTACCATCGTAGACAGCCACAGCGGAGCGATGGCAAATCTGACGTCAAAGATCGAGACAGAAATCAGCCAAGTGTGGCGTCAGATAGGGATAATGTACCAGCAGCTGACTGAATCAGCTGGTGCACTCGACAGACTCCAACAGCAGACCGAGACTTACGTCAACGGCAGTCTGGAGACTATGGGCAGTATGGGTGGAAAAGTCGGCCAGATCACCGGTCTCATGGCAGAAATGGATTCCAACCTCAATTACCTACTTGGCCGTCTGTCTCTGGTCACACAGGAGTTCAATTCTATCAAGTCAGACCTGGGATCAGCTCTTGATAACATCCGCCATGCATTTATATCTGTTCAGAAGAAAGTTAAAGAGTTTGGGAAAACTGGAATCATCCCAATTACAGACAGCAATGAGGATCCTACAGCAGACGAAGGTAACCAAGTGTCGCCGATCAACGTGGAAGTCCAGTAGCGACATGAACGTGGAATGTTACTGAAAGTAATGTCTTATATGTTACATGTTTTTACTAATTACTGATATCATGATATTTTGTATCAGTTTTCGTTCTTCTAGAACCAAATACTTTATTTAATGAGGACAGGTGCGTGCTCGCAAACATAAATGACCACTGCGGTCTGAGACGCCTATTTATTGCAATTTAACAATCAAATGCAGGAACTTCAGAACTTTGGTATTGGCTTTGAAGACAAACTTTTTCTCATCAAGGATCTGTGTGACGAACGACAGCCTCTGTGCAGTGTCATTCATTACTCGAACATACCGCTGGAAATATGAAACAAAATGAGTAATTTTCAACTTTCACTTCCTCAACTCGTTCTTAGTCGCATTAATTCTAAAACACTTATCGCTAAGCCATAGGTGGATAGTAAGATAATGTGCACTTCTTTAACATTATAACGCGCTGAGAATGTCATTTTATAGTCTCTCACACAAATGGTACGAAGTGTAATAGTGATTAGTGTGCATGTCTATAATTTTAATTGAATTAATAAATACACAATATGGTGCATCACATTAAAGCACACAAGTCTTAATATTGTACTGTAAGGAATGGCTGAAGTTTTCTCTGCAGCTGAGATCCAATTTCTTTCTTACGAATGGAATTCTTTTTTTTATAAAGTATCTAAAATTGTTGTGCTTCTAAAAACTGCAGTTTGAATCCTTCTCCCTATTCCTGAAAATGGGTTTCATAGGAAGAGTTTTAAATATTTTTAAAATAAGGTTTCCAAAATGTCTAGGGTAGACTTTGAATTTCTAATAGTTATGATGAGAAGATTGGAATGAAAATCTGAGAATGTCATTTGATTCACACGACGGATTTGTACGCTCACAACAGAGAAGTAAACTAGTTCGATAGTGACGCACGCACGTGTTCACATAAACAGTCGATGTGAGGTGAACAGACCTCGACAAACAAAGCACAGGATGTAGAAGATATTTACTTATTTTACAAGAGACTGAATTCTTATGCTTATTTTGTTTTACAAATGTGCGGAGAAGCAGCAGCCTTAAGCCCTTCTGGCATGACATCCCGCTGCATTATGCTGTCAGACCAAATATGTTGACATGTCTTTCTGTTTTGAATCAACACGAAGCTCAGTTGCTGCACTTGTAATACATTTTTGAAAGACCGAATAAAATCTTTTAACTCAAACTTTATCAACATCAAATGTCCCACTTGATTAGTTTCCTGCAACAGACACTGGATGCAATTGGTTCTGCTTCTATCACAGCCGAGTTTCACGAGTATTGACGTCATGTTTGCTGAAGTTGATCACTGACAATAATGTTTTACTCTGGCACGTGTTTCTTTGACGACGATAACGTCTTCCTGGGGTCGATATCAACCGAGTATCTTCACAGCCCACTCGCACCTTATCTTGGCATTCGTCTACCAGGGGGCAGATAGACGATGCGGTTCTATCGATGATTTGGCGACGCTTTGCTCAGTCACAGAAAATCAGAAACTTCAGTTTTGATATCTTGCTCAATAAAAATGCAGAAGTGGAATCATGCTGAGGAAAATGAGTTCATTCCAATAACCTATTAATGATGATCTTTGTTAATAATTTTTGTGTAGTTACCCTCACATTTTGAAAGGATGTACTATCACCCTTTGTTAACAAAATTGAGGAATAATCTTCTTCTGCAATGCCTCTACTTGTGAGCCCACAGTGTCAGCCCAGAACACCATTTTCCTCAGTACCATAAGAACACTCAAATCTCAGGCTATTAATGGATGAAGGAACACAAACACAGAGAACGTTAATAAATATCTGGGAACTGTGGAAGCACAAGTTGTTCAATAATAATGAAGAGGGAATATATTAGAAGACTTGAGTTGATCCTAAAAGTTAGTTCCAAGATCAAACAATAGCAGCAGAAATGTCTATGACACTGTTACTGTACTATAAGTGTGGAGTAAAAACTGAAGACTGGAAGAGCTAACGAAGACATAAAAAGAATGAGAGAATGTTAAAAGTGTGGAGTGCTTCACCTTGGAACAGACAGACAAGCTGTTTGTAAATATGAGGAACATGGCTGAACACAGGAAGGAGACTACAAAGCAGAAGTACTCAGCATAAAAATACATTTTACAAATGTATGAGGAAGATTTCAGGAATGATCATGAAAAATAATTATAACAACCCTAAAAAAATTGTCTATGCAAAATTCGAGCATGAAAAAAATCAGAACAATGGACAGGAAACAAAGTATTGGGTCGCTTATTGCAAAAAAAAAAAAAAAAAAAAACATATTTGGGAAAATAAAATAACACATGAACGCATGAAAAAAATCAGAACAATGGACAGGAAACAAAGTATTGGGTCGCTTATTGCAAAAAAAAAAAAAAAAAAATACATTTTTGGGAGAATAAAATAACACATGAACACATTTGAATCCTGGATGTCTAACTCATCAACAGGAAACTTCCGTCCTTTACAAAAAGAGAAATTAAAGGATAAATTTACGGTATGAAGATAATGAAAAATGCAAATAACAGTAAATGTGCAATGTGCCAGCAATTTAATGACACTGTAGAACATTTAAAAGCAAGACGCCCAGCTCTGGCCAAGTAGTGGCATACAGCGTGTCCCACAAGCGGACGGCCATAGGAGAACTCTTATTTGGCGAAATACGAACCAATATCAACAGAGAAAAAATACTGCAAATTACGTATTTCCAAACCGGTTCAGCGCTCTCTTTTTACATTATCAACAAAAAGTAATGGCGATTACCACGCCGACATGACAGCGAAAAGAGGAGGGGGATCGTTAGCGAAGGAGAAATAGGTACTACAAAGAACTCCGGAAACATTCCTCTCTTTCGCCGTCGAGTCTACATTGCAACATCGCCGTGAATTTTACTGCGGATAATGTAAAGAACATTCACAAGATCCCAACACTTGAGACTGGAAACACATCATTTGCAGCAACTTTTGGTTACCGTACATCACTTCCAGTATACGTGGAATATTTGCCGGTGTTTCGCCGACTTCTGTGTAAACACAGAACTAGTTTGTTTAAACCTTTTCACTAACCTCTCTCAACTGCTGACATTCTTGGACCTTCTCTGCAGACAAATCTCACTTGAAATTCACGCTGCACCATAGTTACACTGCTAGCTTGATAAAACCTTCTCATACGCTCCACAGAAAAGGACGCCATCTTATTCACAGCTGATTACACAACTTCCTGGTGGGAGTGGGGGGGATCACTAATCGATAATATTGTGCAATATATCAATAAATATAGGGTTTCTTTTCGGTAGGTTATCTGCGTTCAAAACTACCGCGTGTTTTTTTTCGATGACACTGCCCATTTTATTCCTTCGAACAACGACAGTGCCCCTCCATATACCACCTTCGCATTTCACCCTCGTACAACAGAAAAGTAAAGGCATTGGGGTTTCTCTTGGGACTACAACAAAAATTATGACACAACCACACCATGCAACAAAGCTGACATCACACTTAGGGGCAGCGAAGGATCGTGTTTACCTACGTAGGATTTGGGGTTTGCGCTGTGTAGTCTGGTAGAAGTTTACCGAAGATCGCCCTGATGATGGAGGCAGCAAGGACTTCTGAAAAGTCGGTAAACTTGTACCAGACTACACGGCACAACAACACAAAAGGCAGACATCTTGGGAAAACAAGTATCAGTATTTAAGTACAAATACCTGCTGACTGAAATATGGGGCATGAGGAATGTGGCAGTGATACAAATCAAAGGGCAACTCTGGTAAACGAACCAGGGTGAAACTACAAACAATGGCCATTCTGGAAAAAGCACTTTCCAAAAACTATTCTGTAATGAGCCTCTGGGCCAATGTTTGACCCTGACTCATGGATGAGGTACTTTGTAAGGTATTGTGAAACTAACAACTGCTGTAAAAGTTTCATGCAATAAATACATATAAAACAATCTGTTTTGGGATACCTGACTTTTTCTATAAAATTTGGACAAACTTGTTGATATCCTAACCAGTGCATGCAACTGAAATAACGTACAAAACAATGTTTCTTTGGGAGTCATCTAACTGCAACTGTCGATAGAAAACGAGGTATGCGACGAATCTCTTGAATGCCGCGTGATAGTAAATAAATGTTGGTCTTTAATGCACAGAATAATTAAATGCTTAATTTGACTTTAAGCGTGTGGGAATAGACAATCAAGAATCCCCTGAAGATAAAGTTCTTAAGAAAATGAAGACATAACTTTGATTAGAGCAGTTTAAGGAATGTAACAGCACCAGTGGACCACGAATTAGAATAAATGGAGGTGGTGGTGGTAACAGTAGGTCTCTATGTAAGTTAGCAATGGGCACCTACTCCATTCTTCTTCCAGAAGCCAAGTAGTTCACTTATAAACATTATTCTACATAAAAACTACAGTACACTCATTTGCCAAGCTGTGCTAAATTTTACACCATCTCCACAAAATATCTGCAAACCCACATTTTTTGCAGATGATACCAATACTTTATTTCATACCTGGAAATTGGCTGTTTCCAAATTTGCATGTCTTTGCTAGCTTGAAAAAACTGATTATGGCTGATGAAATCAAACTCAATTTTGACAAAACAAATTTCATAAAATCTTGTACTACCAACAAAAATTGTGTTAATCTAGGCATAGGGTACGATGATACAGCAATTGAAGAAGTAGATACAACTACATTTTGTCCTACAAATTGTCAATAACAAAAAAACTGGAAAACATATTCAATACTAAGTCCAGCGTGCTTTGCTATGAGGACTGTCACATTACTCATGAAAGCATAAACTTTAAAATTTGTCTACTTTGCTTACTTCCATTTGATCGTGTCAAATGGAATTATTTTCTGGGGAAACTCAACAGAGAACAAAAAAGTATTTTACATTCAAAAGAAAATCATTAGAATGATGGCAGACACAACAAGGAGAGCCTCATAGAGGGAATTATATACAAAATTTAATATTCTTTCACTAGCCAGTGAATTCTTGATGCCATTATTATCATTTGTAGTGGACAACAGAAAAATCTCAAACCATCTCAGATATTCACAACATATGCACAAGATACAGATACAACCTACGTGTGCCAAACACTAACCTCAGTAAACATCAAAAAGGAGTTTACTATACTCAAATTACACTATTCAATAAAAAGTCTGAATCATGTCATGAAAAAGTTTAAGCCAGAAAAAAAGAGTTTATCTTATCTCACTCCACAGAAAAATTTACCCCAACCAAAACTTCTCAGTTAAGTAATAATGGTGATGTTTTATTTTATAATTATTTTTGTAGTAATACTGTTGTTCACTGTAATTTACTGTCATAATAACTATGCAATTTATGTTTGTACTAGAAACAAGTATTTTATTTATGCTATGACACATTCTACATCCCTGATTTAATTTGGTCTATGAAGGATCAATGGAATGTAAATCTATTCTATTCATGTAAACAGGTCACACAACAAGGACAGGTTGAACAAACCTTATTTTGGGTATAGTGCTCTAGGAGAATAAAGAAACCAAATTCCCGTCTCAAAATAACAAATTATCTACCCCAGAAATACAGTACTTTTATGGAGGGAGGACATGGAAGACACTGCTACATTTTAAACAGATTAAAGTGTAATTATATATATATTTTTCACAATATTATCTCCATGGAATGAAGTACAAACATAATAAACACAAATATGAGAAATAAAACTGAACTTTCCATTCACACTACAGACTTCTGAAGCCAAATAAGTCTACAACTCAACTGAGACATCCAGCTTCCTTTCTGCTTTTAATAATTTCTCACTCCAACCATAGTTTTCCCATTTTCTGTTACCTTGCTTCTTGTAATGAATTTCTAAATGCATTTGAACAAATAACATTGGCAATGCAATGGCGGTTTGCCCAAAGATTTTCCTTCCGCCCTCCATATATGAGCAGACTATACCAGGCAATAATCATATTTAGAAACATCTGTAACAAAAGTATTTATAGCAGCAGAATATAGTAAATTCACAAATAAGCCATAATGAAGAATCCTACAAGCACAGAGCTACTGTGCCATACAACTTGGTTTAAAAACTCACATTCTGTCACTCACTAACAAAAATATTGTACCAATAAACCCTTTTCGTATGCCCATAGTTTTATTTATATTGCCAACAGGACACGTGCCCTCACATTTGACATCTTTCACATGAACATTCATAGAAATGGCAAAAGAGAGGTGAAGGATTCTGCCATCATATGGAAACAACCGAAAGCATACCACGAATACATAAAGAAACAAGTGAAAGAATGACACTGACAGCAATAATAGCCATGGTTAGCGACAAGAACGAAAGTTTGGTCTATTACGAGTTATTAGTATTGCTGGAAGACACAAATTAACATAACATGACCAATCTCCCAGCATTAGTATATAAGCAACTAAACCTGTGATTACAAGTTGTACACAAACAAAATTTAAATTCAGTGTATTAGGCACAGACGCAGAATGTTCTTCCAAAGAAACAACTTTCTTTGTGCAACGCTATGACTCATCATTTGAAATAACTGCACAATGTCACTGCAGCTGATAAGTAGCTCGCTCTTGACTTTCTAATCGCCGAGTTCACTGTCCTAACTTTGCTATGCCTGCTATAATAAAACATGAGAATATGTTTTTGTGTTGAATTTGGGCCATGACCACCAAAAACACCAGCCAATTTGCTCTATTTTCTTAAATTTACTTTTTGATTATGCCACACATTCATAATGGTAAATGAGACAGCAACATTTCAAAGCAACGGGAATAATACATTATCTACCTTCAAACCAACGTAAATTATAAACTCACGAGACAAATCTTTACTGTGTTTCACTGAAACAAATTTTTATTAATGCAATGCAATTACATTTTCTGGGCAATCTGAATTCAACTATAGCACTATAAAACGATGATACAGCAATTGAAGAAGTAGATACAACTACATTTTGTCCTACAAATTGTCAATAACAAAAAAACTGGAAAACATATTCAATACTAAGTCCAGCGTGCTTTGCTATGAGGACTGTCACATTACTCATGAAAGCATAAACTTTAAAATTTGTCTACTTTGCTTACTTCCATTTGATCGTGTCAAATGGAATTATTTTCTGGGGAAACTCAACAGAGAACAAAAAAGTATTTTACATTCAAAAGAAAATCATTAGAATGATGGCAGACACAACAAGGAGAGCCTCATAGAGGGAATTATATACAAAATTTAATATTCTTTCACTAGCCAGTGGAAAGCATAAACTTTAAAATTTGTCTACTTTGCTTACTTCCATTTGATCGTGTCAAATGGAATTATTTTCTGGGGAAACTCAACAGAGAACAAAAAAGTATTTTACATTCAAAAGAAAATCATTAGAATGATGGCAGACACAACAAGGAGAGCCTCATAGAGGGAATTATATACAAAATTTAATATTCTTTCACTAGCCAGTGAATTCTTGATGCCATTATTATCATTTGTAGTGGACAACAGAAAAATCTCAAACCATCTCAGATATTCACAACATATGCACAAGATACAGATACAACCTACGTGTGCCAAACACTAACCTCAGTAAACATCAAAAAGGAGTTTACTATACTCAAATTACACTATTCAATAAAAAGTCTGAATCATGTCATGAAAAAGTTTAAGCCAGAAAAAAAGAGTTTATCTTATCTCACTCCACAGAAAAATTTACCCCAACCAAAACTTCTCAGTTAAGTAATAATGGTGATGTTTTATTTTATAATTATTTTTGTAGTAATACTGTTGTTCACTGTAATTTACTGTCATAATAACTATGCAATTTATGTTTGTACTAGAAACAAGTATTTTATTTATGCTATGACACATTCTACATCCCTGATTTAATTTGGTCTATGAAGGATCAATGGAATGTAAATCTATTCTATTCATGTAAACAGGTCACACAACAAGGACAGGTTGAACAAACCTTATTTTGGGTATAGTGCTCTAGGAGAATAAAGAAACCAAATTCCCGTCTCAAAATAACAAATTATCTACCCCAGAAATACAGTACTTTTATGGAGGGAGGACATGGAAGACACTGCTACATTTTAAACAGATTAAAGTGTAATTATATATATATTTTTCACAATATTATCTCCATGGAATGAAGTACAAACATAATAAACACAAATATGAGAAATAAAACTGAACTTTCCATTCACACTACAGACTTCTGAAGCCAAATAAGTCTACAACTCAACTGAGACATCCAGCTTCCTTTCTGCTTTTAATAATTTCTCACTCCAACCATAGTTTTCCCATTTTCTGTTACCTTGCTTCTTGTAATGAATTTCTAAATGCATTTGAACAAATAACATTGGCAATGCAATGGCGGTTTGCCCAAAGATTTTCCTTCCGCCCTCCATATATGAGCAGACTATACCAGGCAATAATCATATTTAGAAACATCTGTAACAAAAGTATTTATAGCAGCAGAATATAGTAAATTCACAAATAAGCCATAATGAAGAATCCTACAAGCACAGAGCTACTGTGCCATACAACTTGGTTTAAAAACTCACATTCTGTCACTCACTAACAAAAATATTGTACCAATAAACCCTTTTCGTATGCCCATAGTTTTATTTATATTGCCAACAGGACACGTGCCCTCACATTTGACATCTTTCACATGAACATTCATAGAAATGGCAAAAGAGAGGTGAAGGATTCTGCCATCATATGGAAACAACCGAAAGCATACCACGAATACATAAAGAAACAAGTGAAAGAATGACACTGACAGCAATAATAGCCATGGTTAGCGACAAGAACGAAAGTTTGGTCTATTACGAGTTATTAGTATTGCTGGAAGACACAAATTAACATAACATGACCAATCTCCCAGCATTAGTATATAAGCAACTAAACCTGTGATTACAAGTTGTACACAAACAAAATTTAAATTCAGTGTATTAGGCACAGACGCAGAATGTTCTTCCAAAGAAACAACTTTCTTTGTGCAACGCTATGACTCATCATTTGAAATAACTGCACAATGTCACTGCAGCTGATAAGTAGCTCGCTCTTGACTTTCTAATCGCCGAGTTCACTGTCCTAACTTTGCTATGCCTGCTATAATAAAACATGAGAATATGTTTTTGTGTTGAATTTGGGCCATGACCACCAAAAACACCAGCCAATTTGCTCTATTTTCTTAAATTTACTTTTTGATTATGCCACACATTCATAATGGTAAATGAGACAGCAACATTTCAAAGCAACGGGAATAATACATTATCTACCTTCAAACCAACGTAAATTATAAACTCACGAGACAAATCTTTACTGTGTTTCACTGAAACAAATTTTTATTAATGCAATGCAATTACATTTTCTGGGCAATCTGAATTCAACTATAGCACTATAAAAAAGTATATATGAATCACGATGCACTGCAATCCCATACCTACCAAATACAGATGATCAGATCAATGTTAATTAATTACAATGGAATCGATTCTGATGACCAAAACAAATGTCCTTTACATTCTTTAAATTATTGCCATTAACTGTTGTCAGAAATTACATGGAACTCTGCAAGCAATAACAATACGAATCCAGAACAAAAAAGCTCACAACAAATTATTTTTATACTGCCACTTACTTTATGTGCATTTTTCAGTCACGTGTACCTTTCAGTTACATACATTTCATCTGTTCTAATTTTATTCAAACTCAATGTCATGTCCAAGTGCTTCGTATCTGGAAGGCAGGTTCAAATATTAGCCTGGAGACTGTACATCCTGAGGTTTTCCATGGCTCTCCTCATGTCACATTTCACGAGCTCAGCAAAGTAAAAATACACAGCTTTAATCACATTCAAATAGCGAACTTATAAAGTGCAAATGACAATGATCAAGATGACAGACAAGAAAAGCAGGTTGCATGAAGCATAAAAGCCGTCAAGAAGAAGAAGTAGCAGCTGCGCAATGCATCATCATACTCCTTACATCCAATCTGTGGCTGAATACAAAAAATTAAACATGTTTCATACACAACAGTGGGTCTGCAGATATACCATTATATAAAAATATGAATACTTTAAAATGGGCTTCAATACAGTTTTTACCATGAACAATGACAAAATTAACCCCTTTAATTGGCACAGAATGTGTTAATATATATGATATGAGCAGCAAATGGGTTAAACATGTACACAGTGCAGGGAGTTTATCATATGGAAAAAAAGGTACCGTCTCCATTAAGCATACATTACTCTGCCCAAGGTTCCGAACAGCTCAACTTAAAGAACAGTGTTTAAACTGGGACAACACACACGCAGTGAAGTTATTTCAAGAATGGGTGGGGGGGAAACAGCCCTTCTGTATATTTATTCTGATCACATTATTAGAAAATGTTCGCCAACCAGATAAAAGACCATCATTCCATTTTCAATCGTAAGTCAACTCAATAAATGACTGAAATAACAACAGCTGGTCGGCATAATGTGATCAGGACATCGAGCTCCACAGCCTCACCTACATTAACACGCGTGAAACGCATTCTGCATTAGTCTCAGTCATCAGGTTATGTATGATGTTCTGATTTTTCTTAGCACACTTAACACAGCGCATTTAATAAAATTACCGCCACTTTATTATCCCAGTCTATGAAATGATGAGCAATGCAGTAATGGCAGCAAGAATTTCTAAATAGCTCTATTAATGATATGAGAGATGCTCAGGTTATCAGCAATGAGAGACAGTTTCAAGCAGAGGATCATGGACCCAATGGCCCATCCATTTAGTGATTACAGGCTTCAATAAAACTTTTTCAAACAAATACAAAATTGGACTTTATGTTTTTAAGGCCACAGCTACCAAAATGCCAGGTCATGTGAAAAACACAACCCTACACCATACACAAAAAAATTCCACTTACAAAAACTCCGAGGAAAACGTCCTTCACATACAACAGTTATACTTCTCCTGCACATGTTCAATAAGTAGATATAGAGGAGCTATATAGTCAGAATAACAGAACACTGCGCGAATGGCCAGCACGACAGTTGAAACGATGCAGTAACAATTGCAAATTTTAATATCACCACAAACACAAGACCCAAGCTATGCAAATTAAGCAACAGACAATCATGAGAGACAAATGCATTAGAAACTCTAATTACATGAAGAAATGATCAGAGAATACAATATCAGATGAACATTTTCTTTGTCAATTCAAAGTACGGTCACTGTCGCGTTATTTCCGCATTCAAAAATCAATCTCTTTGAGCAGGGTGACAATCTGTAAAAACGGGGTACTGGACTGGGTTGGAACTAGCCAAATGGTCCTTGTACCCAAAAGCACAAAACAATAATATTGGACCAAATTCACACTGAAGTATTAGTACTTCTTCAAAGAGAAACCATAACGTTCGATCAAATCCATATTGCAACTATTATTTCTCTTCACAAAAGAAAGCATACTGCAACAATTACTACTCTTTACAAACAAATCCCACAGGATTTTCACAGCAGTGAGTACGCAATGGCTTTTTGCTGGGTTGTAGTACCACGTAGTCAGGTAGATGTTTACCAATGTTTCATCACCCTGATGATGGAGATAGCAAGAACCTCTGAAATGTTGATAAAACACCCGTCACAATATATGGTTCTACAGACCAGAAAAAAGCCATCACCATCCTTGACCTTTTCCAGTAGGTTATACCTTTAACATAAGAAAATCAGTGTTTTATCTCGGGCATATCTTAGGCCATCTACAAACACAACAAAACTTAATACAAATATCACAAATGTTTAGTCTCCTTAAAATGGAAAAATGATTTGAATTAAACTTGCTTGTTCAGAGTATACTCTCTGACTAAAAAAAAGCATTACATATTGCTATTGGCCAAGAGGCAGATTCTTTTACTGTTAACTTGGACTCAATGTAAACAATGCACATAATATTGAGGCTTCCTGCCAATGCATGTGTGCCATTCCTGTGAGGTGGCGAGGAAACAGGTGGGAGGCTGTACTCTTATGCAGCACAATGCAGGTACACTCCTTCATATTACTGCCGAAAGACAGAGCCATTTAACATAATGTTTTTGGCCTGTATCATGTTCTCAGAACCCTTCCTATCAAAGAACGGTGGAGTACATTAAATATTTGTGGCAACTGTTATAAATTTTCAGTGTTTTTCAATGTTATACACATGTAACAAAGTAATAAGCAGCCTCTCATGAATTCAATCAGGTAGTGAGTATCTTTTTGAAAGTATATAAAAATTACATTACCATCACACAAAACAGCATTCAGTATTAATTACAAGATACACGTCTCAGCTTCAATGGGCCTTGTTCAGGCCCTATACCCCCCTCAAACAAAAAATACTACTAAAAGCAGAAGTGTGTTAACACAACATATAGAGGTGTTGTACACATGACTTTTCATTATTTATATTTAGATAAAATATATATTAAACTACAGAAATTTTATCTAAATATTTGGAGAAAATAATTTTCTGGACCCAACTCTACAATCTTCAATTTTAATTTTGATGTTCTAGTTTATAGGACTCAACACCTTAATGCTCACGCACAAAATAAAAATAGTCGTGTGCAACACCTTTATATGTTGTGTAACACCCTCTGCTTCTGGATTCCGTAAACTGCATAGAACCAGAAAATTAACTCCAAATTCTGTCAATAAATTCACTAGCATTGCTATGTGACTGTAATATAATTCTTATTTATATGTTTTCAAATATGCAGCTTTATTTAGGTTTTCGTAGCACAAAAACAATTTTTGGCAGAACTTCTCTGCGACATGCCAACACCAAAATGTATGTAATGGCTGCTGCATGCATATAGCTATCGGCGACTTTTACTTTGTAGCTTTTTACCTTATGTGGAGATGCAGAGTTGCTCAATACTTCATACAATAATGAAGAGCATTTTAATTTTGTGTCTTCCCTGCAGAAAAATTGTTTTTATGCTCATAAATTAACCTGCACTGGCAAGACTGTCTCACTTGTTCCGTGGCTACAGTGCCAGTCCAACAACTCCCACCATAATACACCGTGCTTCTGCATACTTCAATTAATCAGTAAAAATAACATGTAATGCCCTTGCATACATTAAAAACAGTTCAATTCATGGAAAGAGAAATGAAAGTATGTATGCCAGCCTACAGCAATTATACAAAATGTTTCATCTAAAACCTAGAATATAATCTTGACGTCTCTATGATAATGTTGAAAATTTTTGCATAAAATTTACAATGGCATGGCTCAAAATTTGTATTTAGTACAAAACACCTTGTCAATAAAATGTAAGAAGGCAATTCAGAAACGTATCCACAATTTTTCTATTCTACCTGCCATGGGAGCAAGCTTCACTGCCAACATTTGACAGCACTAAAACTCGTGAGTCATCAAGTTAAAACACTAAAGGTGACCTTGGACTCGGTGCACCCAGCTGAACACGGCCACACCATAGTTGATTTGCACCGAGGAAGAAGAGGGGATCGTGGTTAGTCTTTTATGGGCAGAGGAATGAAAGGAGTTGAAATTCACAGGTGGTTTATCAGCTCAGTATGAAAAAAGGAAGATTGTCACAGGGTGATCTTATGTCGCATAATGATGCCCACACGAAACACATCGGGGACTGAAATGTGGAGCTCTTCACCTCCCACCAGAGTCAGGAACACGCAGCTTCTGATTTTATTTGTTTGGATCTCTGAAGGAGGCTTTGAGGGGTTGCTGATTTGCAGATGACAAAGGAACTGGTGCATGACTGGCTCTGCACTCAACCAGAAAAGCTCTTTTTATGGTACAAGAAAACTCGTGGACCACTCGGCTAAGTGCACTGAGAAGCAGGGAGAGTGGAGAGTATGTAAAAACTTTAAATGTACCAAACAAATAATAACAAATTACAAAGAAAAATAGTTGTTGATAGTTTTTGTATTGCCCTCTAAATAAAACATAGTTCAAAATTTGAGAAAATATCAAGACTACAAGCAAAAGTTGGATATAGAAGTAGTAAGAGCTCCAAATGGGTAAAAAAAAAAAGGCTACTCTGGAATACTAAGTATAATGAAAGACATACTATGTACATGGCCCAAACTCTTCTTCCGACAAACAGCATAAATGGAATGCTGAACAAATCAAAAACATCAGCAACTAAGATTAACTCATGGTCTTTTCTGTTCTCCTATGCCCTTCATCATTTCGAGATCTGTATATATAAGTGAGGGAACAAATCAGTACTTGTCTTACGCTTAGAATAAAGTAAATTATAAACTGAGGTAGGACTCCTTCTTGTGTCTACCTGTGATATATATATGATAGTTGCTTCTTCCACAGGTACAACTACTGAAGTGGATCATGTGAAGTGCAAATACCTGCCAGCAGGAAGCAGAGGACTGAATCACACAAACAAAAACGCATCTGCACTCCAGACCCTCGTAATATGAAATATGTGTATCATACAATATAAGTACTATACAATGTGGAAGACCTACGTTTGTGACCATAATGATTATTCTTCACTTACAAACAAAAGAAAATGCCACACAGGACATCACTAATCCTTAACTTACAAAAGAGAGACCTCAAAAGCAGAAATACGTCTCCCGAGGCATCGAGATAAACGAAATGAGCTCCTGAGAAATAATGAATCCAAATGAAGTTTACATATTGCAATTCTGTTGCCATTTGTTTGTCACAAAATGTTCATTGTTATGGAAGGTTTTTAATGGCTACTGTGTTTGCACATTCTTTCTCTGACCAAAGTGCCATTCTGTTTAGGGAAACCACAATTCTTCCAGGAAAAAAAAAAAATACATGACTGTTTCTTGAAGTTAACAACATTCTGGTATGGAAAAATGTTACAAAATTCTTACAATCATCAGTGGGATTAAAGTATCAGGTACGAAGGAATTATTCTTCTCCATCTGTTTCAAGCTTGCAGCAAACCAAACATGAAATGAACCCTGGCAAAACAAAACATTCTCTACCTAGTGACATGCACCAGCGTACAATGTTTCTTAAAATCCGCACAGTGAGCAAAATTACATTGCAGTAAATGATATCTTTACATACTGGAAGAAAAAACAACAACAACTTAATTTCATTATTGTGACACAGTAACAGAGGACAGAAGAATGCAATTATGAGTACTAATAAAATATGATGCAATATTTAGGGCTTGATAATGCAAGTGTAGAAATATTTTGTTTGGTTTTGGTTTTCTTGCAAATATGTGGAACAATCCTAACATGCATAACTGCTTTCATATCGTAGAGTGGAACACCAAATACAGTGCATATGTTTTACGATCTGTGTTTCACAAAATGAAGTATACTTCTTTTGCTGTGGCAGTGAAAGGCCAAATCTTTGACGATTCCTTTCCCAGCTCCTGGTAACATCTCTTGCTTAGCAAGAAACAGAACCCTTTTGGTCCATTAAAAATGCTTCCCCTTCTCACCTTCTCTTGATGGTGCAGCACCACATGCTCATGTCACGAGGGAAAACTTCAATTCCCCGGGCATCTTTCACTCGTAATATCCGTCACCTGGCACGAGATGACCCGACAAGGTTACGTCCCACTGACTTTGTCGTGTGTGTGTGTGTGTAAAATGAGAATGTGTGTATGTGTTAGACTATTACCCTTATACCACATGGGACAACACACAATTCTCCAACTGAACCAAACATATCCCAGATCAAATGAAATGGTGTTTCACTTATTCTATGTATTTCTTGCCAGAAAGACAGAGAAGCCCCGTTACTATTACCCCATTTTAATCAAACAGCCTGAAATGCTGTTAAATAGCTACCAGAGCAGTGAATGTGCGGGACCCTTAACTACTCGTGGAGGCCATTGGTGATACGGGACTCAGCGGGCTCCGACTAGAGTCTCTGAGGCAACCGTTAACAGTGATAACCACCTTGCGTGACCCAGCGTGGTCTCGATGTTCACACAACCAGATGCCCTGCCAGGTGCCAAGATTGAGTTTTCCATCTGTGATGGGAATTGTGAGCGAAGAGCCCAAGAAACAGGCCTTCACGTGAGCTGGCTAAAACAAAGAAACACACGGTCCGGTGAAGCATGCTGCCGTTCTCACAACACACAGCAAAGTACCGAGACATTACCAGACACCACCACAACCTGAATTATGTACAAGCATCAAGTAGAATAGTAATGTATTAAAGTACAGTGGTAATGACATGTACCACCTGCTTTAAAATTCAGCATTTCCCCCAAAAGAGTGTATTTATGGGTCTCATATAGTTTTTGCAACAAATGTAGTTGTTTCCCTATCAACTAATCTTTGTAAATGAAGCAAGATGTCCTGTTTTAAGGATATGAACAAAGTCTTTAAATACTGCTTTATAGTGGTCTTCTTCTTACAACAATTTACACGCTAACCTTGCTATAATTGTTACTTTTACGAAGATAACTATTATTGGACTAAATGTACTGCAAATAAAGCATTCGATTGGATTATCTGCTCAGTAACAGAAATGCTGTGAACACTGCTGCTACGAATCACAGTATCTTAGAATCTTTCTTGACGACAACCTGCGATTGAAGCCGTGAAGACGGCAAAAGATCTGACACAGCTGAACATGCAGTTTTAACACAAACTGATATCAACACTAATATAAAAGCTGAATGTTATAACACAGGCCAACAGTGTTCCAATGTTTAGAATATATAAGAATGTAAGGAGACTGATGATGATGAATTAAAATGACAATAGAACTACAAAAGTTTAAGTGCAATTCTGAACAAAACTGTACTTACCATGTCATCAGGACCTTCACAACAGTGTCTAAAAGGTAAATCCTGGAACAGAAAAACGTACATTTATTTGTAGGTTCAACTAATCTACGTAAGAGTGGGAGCTTTCAGAGGGACTGCAACAAAATCTTTTCAGGCCGGGGTGAAGCGTGGACGGGGCACGATTCTAACCGCTCGCCCCAATCTAGTGCCAAGGTCAAGAATAAATAGGAGCTATACCTCCTCTTCCCCCAAACGACCTACGTGGTGTGTAGGGGCACTGTTTTACTTTACATAAACAATATACATCATAGAGTATGTTCAAAATTTAGTGTCTAACTTTGTACACTTACCTCAGGCACTATTTTATTTAACATCATTTCCATGTCATCCCTAGAAAATGAAAGAATCATTACTCAGACTTAACATGTATTAATACCACAACTTTAATATTATTATACTTGAAAACTATTACAAATGAAATAAATTGTACTGTGCACGTCTTCACTAAAATACAGATGGTATTAATATAGCATACATTTATTTACTTGAAGCTGCTCTTTCATGATTACTGGACACATGTTTTTAATTATCTAATAAAAATGAAATTATCAACGGGAGCAGCACTGTACTTGAAAGCTTATTTACTGACCACATAAAACCAACATTTACTGCCAAATTCAGAAGAATATAGTACATACAAATAATTATATCTGTATTATATACTTACATTCCTATAAAAATACTATATTTCAATTAAAATAACTAGCATGTAAAAACAACAATATTTATTCTAACCAAATTAAGTTCTATGATAACAATTTAAACTCATCAAACATGTTTAGAAAACCTTATAATTATAATTTTGTACAGGTTAAACCCTCATTTGCTTATAAGCAAAACTGCCATTAAGTCAGAATTAATTTCTTTTAATGCATCTTTAAACTTAGAATAATTAGAATTCAGTTATCATTTAATATGACTTTGTTTCAATAAAATATTAACAGACTATGGCATTCTTATTTCTGAAACAATTACAGGCTGGGAAATTTATGCTCACTGTAACAATTCTGGTGTGTTACCTCTTACTGCCTTCTAGACTTTTAGTTCATAAATGCTAAATGTTGATGCTCCATTATACATAGCACAAAACAGGCGGGCTGATTGAGTGTTTGCCTCCAACACACAATTTGATCAAAATCAGTCCAACAGTTCTCTCAAGTTACGAGTGACCATAAAAATAATTTTTGCATAATTATCTCACAAATTGTATGATTTATGAAAAGGCGTGTTTGTGATGACATGTAAGTTCCCTTTTCCTCTGTAACATTGGTGTGAACATTCTCTGCTCTGATAAACATTTCAAAAGTTACAGTCGAGATACAAGCAGAAATGCATATAAAGTATGACAAATGTTATTAAAACTTCCCAATATAAAATTGAAGAAAATCCATTCAGCAGTTCTTAAACTGTAACATGCAGACAGACAGACAGACATTGTGAAGCAAATAGGCACATTTTAGAATCTTCTATGTGAATGCATCTAAAAACCAATGTTCCTGTAAGATAATAGCAAAAATTCATAAATTATTTTAATATATACCAGACTGTTACATGCACTTATCTGACCATGCAGTTGTAACTACACTGGTCAATAAAAAAGACATATCTGAAAGTAAGAGCTATTCTCATCATATTCTCACAACCATAGTTATCCGTTCAAAACTACAACCACCTAAATCTAAGAAAGTGTACAATTTACTATTAGATACAACACACTGCACTTGTTCAGGCCTTACGACCCCTACCCTACTGTTAAAAGCTTGATTCCAAATTAACTTAAGTCAGGGTTCTCAAATTTTGGGCAATAAATTCTTACAGCTATAGTTAACTAAAATTCTGTATCAAAATGCACTTGGAACATATGGATGTCCATATTTTCAACAAACTACCACACCTTATCAAAATGAACTTTGCTACCTCGAGACAATATTCCCGACAGAAAACATTGTTACAGAATAAAATAAGCCGAAGGTTCAGAAGGATAATTTGCTCCCAGACAGATACTGACTGTCATGCAAACATGACACTTTTATGTTCTGTACAGCTTGTTTACTGAGGACACTTCATGAAACTGAATAGTCATAACAGGGCAGACCTCCCCATATCCAAAGTAGATGAAATGTTCAAAATCTGAACTTTCTACATGTAACAGAAAAATTGAAGACGGGCGTCTTCTGGGTTGTAGCGCCGTGCAGCCTGGTAATAGTCTGCCAGCATTTCAGAGGTCCTTGCTGCTTCTATTGTGATCATCATAGCCATGATGATGGTGGCAGACTATTACCAGGCTACAACCCAGAAGACGCCCGTCTTCGAACTTGCTGCCGTGACAATCTCAAATCCTACGACAAAATAATTTCTGTTTATTCTCATGGACTCAATTATGTAAGGGACTACTGCACACAGCTGTCCATCATCATGAAAACATGTACGTGGCCCAATATGTGAGAACCCCTCACTTAGGAAACGCCATGCTATGGAAGAGAGAATAGGTACAGTATTTATATGCATGATACTTTGGAACAAACAAATACTGCAAACTATATGATTGGCACCCTGTTTAGACAGATTAGTTAATAAAACTGCCTACTACAGCATCAAAAATACACATCTAGAACTATAAATTAGTACAGTCACAGAAAAATCTAATATATTCCTTTCACTAAATATGGTGACAAAAGCTATATAAAAAGGAACTGGAAGTGAGTTAAAATTTTTTTTGTCTGCAACTGCAGTCTACATAAAAATTATCAAGTACTGTATCATACATAAAGTAACACTCCTATTAGCATTTTAGTGAATATATGAATACATACACAAATAAGACCATTTCTGGGAAACAATTCACACTCAAAATATGGTACATATATTACCATTATATTTTTTCCTTTTTTCCCAGGTTAGATTTTTATGGTAGTTCAATTAGAGGTGATCTGTAGGTTATGTGCTGAAAATGCAGTAATTAGCATTTAAAACACAACCTCAAAAAAGTGTTTCAAGCTGGCAGGTTCTGAAATATCACACTAATTCAATTAGCACTGAAGTACTCCAGCTGTTCCGTTCATGCAGGATAATTCAATATGCAACATACTGACTTAACAAAAAGTATTCTTTTGAAATGTAACTTCATTATATCCATTAATGAATGTCAAAAATAGGGGGTATGTTCTGTTAATAGTATTTATGTGGTTAGGGGAAATGAAGGGTGTTTCACTGTTAATGATATGTAGCAAATGCTGCTACACTTATTTGTACTTAAGTTGGATATTTACCTTACATCTGGATCCCAACTTTCATTGAGAGCTAAACTAGCCGAAGTGTGGAGTACTGAAAATAAATTGTAACATTTGATCAAACTAGAAATCGAAGCTGTTGAAGCATATCTTCAGCTTTGAACGTAAGATAACGAAGTTTCCTTCCCAACCAAAGATCTAACTCAATTGAAAGTTTTGTGAATGGCATCACTCAGTTTTCCTTTCACAAAACATAAGAAATGAGATGAAGATTCAAATTTTAAAATTATTCTGCATCTTTCCTCACACTATCTGCGCATCTGTAATATTTTCATGTGACCAGACCACATTGTACTTACATTTTAATGTCAAAAATATTGATTTATATAAAAAGTTGTATGACAAAACATATAAAACATCTAACATCCTGCATATCTCTATTAAAAGTAACACATTAATAAATTAAAGCACAGAGATACTCTAGTTCACAGACTGAACAAATGGGGCATACTATCTACAACCTCTGATGTTCTGATTCGCTATATATTTTGGCTTCTTTTAGCTAAATATGTCACTGTTTCAAAAATGTAAATGCAGCTCTGTCCAGCCTTATTTAATTATTTGTGACTTACCAAACAAATGCTCACAATTAAACAGCATACAGTTGATATAGGCAGATGACACACAATAGAGTTTTTCTATAATGATGTCTTCTAAACAATGGAATGAAGTAAAGAAGTAACTCAGATACAGAAAACTTTGTGTCCTCGTTTGACACTTTTGTCTTATAATGGGTATGTACTACATATATGATAGCACAAACAGGCAGGTCTGCACTAACTCTCATAACTTTGGCACTCTGAAAGATATGCAGACGTCTCAGAGAACTAGTAACATTCCGATGAAAGGCAGGCTTATAAAGTTATGTTCATATGTTTGTGCGTGCACATCCATAAGATAAACATACAATTCTCCCCCATCCCATTAAACATTTTCCACTACAAATTCAGATGTTATATGATAATGTGAAAATAACTTCTACACACTTTCTTCAACTTATATACACCGAACTCCCTCTTTATGTGTTCTTTTTCTCAAGACTAAAAGTCCTCAGAGCTGCACATAACATACTTTAATGTTTGCTGCAAACACACAGACTCATTCTGAGCAACTCCCAAGACTTGGGTAGAAAACATGTAAATACGAACCAATATAAAAGTATCAAAATTAAGTTCCTTTCCAGAATCATGATATTTTCTTCATGGTTTCCACAGAACAATGAACTTCTTGGAAAATGTACTTATCAGATCAAAAATATAAACAGCAGACACAACTATCCATGTTTCTGAATAAGCTCTGAAAAACAGATGACTTATATACTAAGATACCTATAACGCATGGCTAAATAAATCCAGGGTGCCCAGACACCACGACAACTAGAATTGCTGTTGTGGCACCCAGCATTTCTGATGGAGGAAGCATGAACCTCTGAAATGCTGGTAAAATTCTACCAGAGTGCACAGTGCTACAACCCAGAAGACAGTCATCCTCATACTCACTGCCATAATAACCTCAAATCCCACTTACGTGTTGTTAAGTTTTCTTCTTTCATTTATATCCAGCTTTATACAAGTATTCTTCTATATTCCTTAATTCTACAACCTTACTACATTCTTCATTCACTTATAAGCTTCTTCATTATAATAATCTCCCACTTACCTGTCTGTCCTAGTCACAAAATATTTAAACACAATATTTGAAGAATGACATATTCATATCATTCATCCACCTATAGAACTTAAGTCCAGAATGATATCACTGTTATGCAGAAATCTATTGGCCTGTCATACAACACAAGTTATTCAAATCTCAATTACTCTCCAGTTCCAAAACTGCAGTACCTGATCTTCAAAAGTATTCATTATGAAATATAAACAAGATTAAAAAAAGACAAGAGAAACTTGACAACCCGATATAATAATAGTCCATCATTAAATATAATTTCTGATGCAGAAAGACAGATGGTTATGCTGCCTCAACCCCTCTGTCATACCTGCACAATCAGTTCATATTCAACTCGTTCAATGCAGCAAAACAAATTCCAATTCATGTCCACAATACTGGCTCCTTTTCTTCTGAAAATGTTATTTTCTCACATGTATTTAAACCACCCATCAAGTGTTAAAAAAAGATATGGGTTGCTTTCAATCAACATTAACTGTAAAATGTGCTCTTCTTTCAGACACAAATATGATCCAAACCACTATAAATATATTCAAAAATAAACGTTCCTTTAAATTTCAAAACAATACCTCCCTACATATGCCTTAACTCTAAATATTAAGAAAAGCACAGCTAACAGAAGCCCGGGGAGGGGGGGAGTATTAAATAATGGAGTATGATTTGCTCCCTTCTATAACCAAGTTGTTCAGCTGTTGTTGAGAAATTATATTAGTGTCTAAAGCCAACTGTAAATCACAAGCCACCAGAAATCTTTGTACTTTATGTATATGCATAGTAAACAAACATGAGACATATGCAAAGCAGCTCTCTGACAACTCATTATTGGCTCAATAAAATGATTTTGAAGGGCTCTTGAGTTTGCCATGTCTCCATAACTCTTTGAAACAATTAAGTATTTCCAGTAATTATATAAGAAGTTAACCATAACACTTACATGTTGAAAATCATTGAGTTACATCTCTGGTTAGGGTTTGGTTAAGGTTAGGTTATTTTATTACTGCTGACTGCAAAACACTGGCATTCCACAGTACTGGCAAAGGAAAAATAACTTACAAATAATACACTGGTCTGAATTTACAACTACATTACTTGTCTAGTAGACACATTTAATTTAACTAGCTATTGAAATACATTGCTATACTAGGTATAGCTACAACGTGGCATTATTACATTAAAAACAAATATGAGTCTAACAGTGAGAAAGGCAAACATAAACTTCAACTAAGAATATCTGAACTTGCTAACCTGTCAAGATTTTACCAAAAATTAACATGCTTTCAATGGAACAAGTGCCCAATACTTACTTTGTACATGAAATAATCCGACTGAAAATTGACATATTTCAGGCATTTGCCTTAGAATTTCTTCCGTTACTAAATGAATTCCTCTATGCTGCGGCCTAAGGTTGACTTTGCGTTGAAACCACGCCGAACCTATATGTATGGCCCTATTCGATGAAGCCATGTTGAACACTGTACAGCCAGGGGCTTAATTGTTGAAAGTACTTGTCAAAATTGAAACATGAGTATTTATAACGTTATACTTCCAATAGCCATGTGATTCCCATATTTATGATGAACACACTAGTACTGGTGAACAAATAAAATATACCGGAAAAACAATGTGTCAAAGTAACTGCAAGATTTCAACATACACCTAACGCCACACCGCCAAATAGCACCAACTTCAATAACGACCCACTAGTGGGCAGTGACATCATAGAAACAGATGACGTGCGAATTTTTAGTACATTCTACATAGTTTATCTGCTGTGTTGGTAGAATTTTCTTCGATGTATTGGCGACACTGTCCTGTCCAGCCGTCGAAACTGAACCCGTCTTAACATTAGTATAACACTGCTTCCAAGAGATGTCGTATTTGTGTCCAACAGCAATTGATCGTGCTTCGGGTATATTTGAATTCAGTTAAATTTAATGTTGGTACTTTCAGGTCGGCGCAAATGTATGTGGAGCCGTAGGAGTACTGCGTCCATCATTTCCCTTCCTAAAGTGAATATTATGCACAATGCCACAATCTAAACATTTAATCATAATCTGGCTACAGATCACGTAAATCTGTACATTAACGCACGAACTTCCAATTACTTGCAATAAAACTTCTCCGTAGTGTAAGTGGTGATGATATCGAAAGGTGTCCAGGTCAAATTGTCAACTTCGCTACACATCAACAATTTGTACTTTTCCAAGAATTGTTTGCAGATTACTAGAAGGCTGCAGAGTCGTAACAAGGGTGGGGCACTCACCCTAGGTGCATATAGAGCCACAAAATTAAAAATTAGGTCAAAATATGAATAAATCATATTCCAATGTGCAAAACTGATACAATACAAGAATTTTATAATATTTTTGGGTGTGGGGGCACAGTTCAGTAGCTTGTCCTAGGTTCAGAAAACTTTAATTATGGCTCTGCAAGGCTGCAAACATGGATATACATTTATCCTTTCATTGTTTTAGACTTTCTATTTTGCACAATTTCTCTTTTTCTTTACATTCAATCTTTTACCAGTTTCTAAGCTGATACATAATTGCAATAAACACATATGTACATGTGGTAATGTTTCTTCAGACTCCTTCACGATGTGCATGAATCCTCTTTAGTAATGTGAGTGCCCGCATCAGAAAGTATGCATGGCATGGGACCTCAGATACAAAACTCAGATTAAATACCAAGTTAGTTTCGTTGCTGGACATACCATCTTAGAAACTGGCTGAAATATTTGCCTCTGGTAGAGTTAAGTTCTTAGTATACATGATTGTTATGATTATGGAACACATTTTAGGTACAACAAAAATTAGAGAATATTTATTTTGTAAACAAAAATTCTCCAGAATGGAGAAAGTATTTTTCTAAAAAGTACCCACAAATGAACACAAAACTCAATATGAAACATTATTATTTAAAGGTATGATTTGTGTAATTTCTGATGATATATACACCAATTATTTACTGTTCAAAACTAATTTTTTCCCTCTAACTCAGGGGTGGGGAACCTGTGGCCTTCTAGGTCCTTAAGTGCGGCCTTTTGACTGAATCCAAATTTTACAGAACAAATCCTAGGATCAACTGAAACTGCGGACCTCCATGCTGCAACCAAACATTCGAATGCTTTCCAACAAAAAGCAGACACAACAAAGTCATTAAAAGATTGGTTAACTTTAAAATTAACAAATAGTTTTCATTTTTTGAAATTATTAAGTACATAATAGTTAGATTTTTACAAAATAATGTACATTTTTAAGTATATCTAATTGAAGTTTCTTGAATGCGGACTTCCAACATGAAAAGGTTCCCCACCCCTGCTCTAACTCATTTAATTCCAAAATGCTAAAGTTCACTGGACACGCGGTCCAGCTTGTAGTGCATCGCACCAACATTCCTTCAAGCCATTCAAAATTCTTCATTCTGATGGGTAATTGTGAGATTGAAGACGGGCGTCTTCTGGGATGTTGCACTGTGTCTGGCAGATATTAACCGACGTTTCAGGAAAACTTATTGCCTGATACGTCACTCGTTCCCACTTCGGCCACCAGATCGCACAATTTCAATGTCCACCTCACGAGTTTTCTCATCCGTCATTTCGCTGTCACCGCTGGTAGGTTTTCGAGAAGAATGGCATAACCTCCACGCCAAATTTCATCCAAATCAGTCCAGCGGTTGAATCGACTGGACAGACGGACAGCCCATAATGCGTTCTCCCTAGAAAGAACGCAAAATAATACAGGACGAGTGTCATCGTGAGTTGTACGCTCCAGGGGGTCTGCGAGCTGGAAACGTCGAAAAATGGAATGCATACAGAATTTTCGTGGGGAAAACATCCACTCAAAGGAGACGGAAGATAGGTCTTTGTTATTAGCGGCGTTGAAACCTCGCGTTCTTCGTCCATAATGTTGCTGTGTCACGAAGACGGAGAGACTTAAGAACATCACGCGTTTGCATTAACTTCGTATCTACGAGCGACTAAGTAGTGAAGATTAGTTCTGAGACACGTGATGACGCGCGTGCTCCAGGATGGATGCTGTGGCGTGCAGATCGCAGTACCTGGCTGAGCGGAGACGGACCGAGATGTCGCTGTCAGTCTACATCCACGGCCTGGCGAACCACGTGAGTACACACACCGGCGGGGCTTCGTGCGTAGTTTATTCGGCTATTAAATGCGCATAAAGCTCGTTGCGTTTGGCGGACTGAAGCCGGGGATTACCAGTTCCCGGGCAGACTTCTTGCAGCAGTGGAAGGAATAGTCTATTTAACCCTCCTCCAAAATTAGGACTGGGTCACTGTACGCCTACTTTTATAAATAATTAAACTGACAATCGTAACTAACCCGAAATATAGTTTGTTGTCTACTCCGTACTACAGTTCACACAAAAATTCTTCTCGCAAAGTTAAATTCGTACGTTGACGAAATTACTCGTTTCGTCAGTTTGGATTCAGGCAAAACCATCTTCTGATCAAACGCACCGGAGTCCAATGATTAAACACGTCAGACACTTAGAGGCTTCACGAAAGCCAGAAATATTGTGCATTTTCGCTGAGTTTGAGCTACTAATTCACTTCGCAACATTTCGCCTTCCTTCTCCGATCTGAAAACCTAAGGTGAAAATATTTTACATGGAAGGGACCACTTGGTAGACCAAGATGTAGATGGGAGGATAACAACATGATTTATCTGAGACTAATCCAGCTTAGGGCGCTGTCCAGTCACAGATGCTTCTGAGCACAGCAGCGAACCTTTTTGATCCGTAAAAGACGCTTGAAGTCAAAATGTTGTGATGACGTCACAGAAAGTAATCCGGTTATTTAAACAGCATTCAACCTATCAACTGAATTACTTTGTCATGGGTTCGCTAATGAAGGACTTTGGATAAAGAATGAAATTAAAGCAGTCCCGCTGCACGCCACGTAGGCGCTTGGGGTGGAGAGCTGGTTTACCTGCGACTCATTCTTAACCTCGGCACCAGATGGGGGTGAGTGGACAGAGTCTAAAAATCAAGTACAGAGTAACCAGAAATACTTTTCGGTACAACGGCTACTTAAAAACGTACGCCCGATTAAACACCGGGAATGATTAACAACGTCTTAATTACACAGCTTATAATAATATGGCGGTTTGTAAATGACAAATTGAAACGCGAGTGGAAGGAACCAGCAGCGGCCTAATTCATGGAGGAACTGAGGAAAACTGAAGGAAACTCCGCCTTTGGACCGAAATTTAAACACGGAGGACCACTCTATTCGGCGTTCTCCGCTTCAGACACAGCGTGTAAGCGGACTATTGTGCACGGTCCACAGAAAGCCACTCTTCACGTGACAGAACAATGCACCAAGTTCGATGAGAAACCGTGCCATGGCCACTGGGTACCTGTCGAGTTGCGGCCGATTAGATTTAACAAATGCGCCTAGAAATGGCGACACGACAGCGTACAGTCAGTCCGTGGGAAGACAGCGAGGAGGCCCGAGATAAGAGGAACTTACACTCCAGACTACAGGTAAGGAATTCACGACGTCCTCGCCTCGTCGCCCTTACGAAAATCGCCTCACGGGTCCACGAATTTCAGCAGAGAACGCGTTGCTACCTATCAGTGGTCACTGTAACTACGATATATCATTATGTCGACGGTCATCAAATTAAAATTTGATGATTCCACGATATACATCGTCATTTGATGACCGTCGCGTCGTTCGGCCGCCTCTCCTCTCCCTTCCAGGGTCTTCCTATATTCCAGGTCACCTCACGACGAACTTCCACCCCGAGGAGCTAGACACCCCTTCCCCCCCCCACCCAAGGTCTTTTACTCGCTTTGCAGCTTTCATTCTTACGCCCTCGTGGGCTGCGAGCTCATCCAGGAACCCCCGTCACGATTTACAGTCGGCGTCACTTTCTGTGACAGATTTCTTCGAAGTGAAGGATTTGCGCTTTGAGGCTTGTTGCATGGACCTGTTGTTGTTGTTGTTGTTGTTATAGGTTAATTAAGCAAATTTTGGGTGCCAGTGGATCCAGAAACGACGCATTAGCTCTGTCTCGAGAAAGTCTTGACCGCGGGTGAAGGATGACGTGTCAACCCTTGCTTAGTTACGGATCGATTGAATTCCGTCACACTTGAATTTCCAAGAAACTTGCTAATAAGTGACTGCCTCGTTCAAGTGTTCAAGGTCAAGATCCTCTGCTCCTGATTGGCTGAAAAGAATATTACCTAAAACCAAAGAAAAATGTTATGAAAAGTGTCACTCCTCTAGATTCTCAGTATTTTCACGAAGACTTCAATGCGTTAGGTTTTACTGACATCTGCGAACCAAAATGTTTCGAAAATGCAGCAACAAATTATTATTATTATTCAGTGTTCTGTATTACGACAGGTCCATTGCTCTGCCCAAAAAGAGCTCTCCAGTTTTCCCTATTCTCAGCTTCTCGTTTTAATTCCTGGAACGTCATATTCTTTCCTTGTAACAAATAACACGCAATAAAACTTTTACCTAATTTATGACAAAAGAAGGCGAACACGTCGAGCGGGGAGTGATCCCAGAACATGGACAAGTATCCCTTCGTTTGCACAAAAGAGAGAGAGAGAGAGAGAGAGACTTGACAACAGAAGCCATTAAACTTTCATTCTCTGCAAATGGACGTCAGTTTTCGTCTGCCCCTGAGGCACAGAAGCTTGCAGAACACTTGAAAGAAATTAACTAATTTAATTAATCAGTTTAACTGAAGTGATATTTGAAAGCAAATCTAAGGTAAATTACATTTCCACCAGAGGGGCAGTCTCGTGTCTGCAGCCCAAATCCAGAGCCAAGTGCGTGCCGGAACGAGAGGGCGGTCGGCTGACGCGGAAAACATTAAAACAGCGTAATCCACGTGACAGTCGGTTACATGAGCGGGAGAAAGTGTGACGGTGGTCAGGGTTTCCAGCAAGCCCTCTTCGGGATGCAACACGCAAACTCTAAGTCGAGAAGGCGCTGCTTTGACAGAATGCCCTTGTCTTCCGGTCTCGTATTTAAGGGGTTTAACCACGTCCAAGAAAACGGTGGTGCTTGGGAGAATATCGCAGACGATGGAGCTCCATGACATTAACAGGACGAAATGGGCGAAGCGTGTAGCACGCACGGGAGGATGATATTAAAATGGTCTTAAAGGAGTAGCGCGTGAGGAAATTTATTGACTAGCTGAGAGACTATCAGCGTCTTAAGGACTGTGAACAATGACGTCAGTCTTTACCTTGTGCTCGGGGCTACTCTGATAGGCCACTCGTTCAACTGTGAAATGCAATCGGTCCTGAAAAACCACTGCCGATATTTCACGCCACGAACTGACATTGACGACTTTATCCGTAGACTGTCAACATTATTTGTCTGAAGCTGTGCTTACTCTCGGCCTTCCATAAAACCGACCAAGACAAGGCCCAGTCTCCACTTATTCTGGAACAGAGATCCTCACAACGGCCAACTCTGGGCCCCTGATTGCTGTCAGGGTGACTGCTCAACGATCTCGAGATTTCCTGTAAACCTTTCGCCCGGGGCTGCCTCAAGCCGTGAGGCTTCAGCACGACGGAACTCTCAATGGATTTCTTCGTGTGATTACGCAGTCCCTCCGAGGACCACCGAAGATCTCGCGGCAAGGCCTCAGGGTGGCAACGATCGATTCTAAAGAACGCCACGCTCATTAATACTTTGTGCCTCTCGATAGCTAAACGGCACGGGGCATGTGTCGAATAATATTTTTACAAGGACTCGCACTATGGAGACCTTGTGCCCGAATTTCATTTCACGCGCATGACTGGCAAGGAAATAAGGATTTGCGAGGGCAGAAGAGGTACAGTCTAGTGCCCTTATCACATGCAACGTCGTGGCTCGTGTACGAAAACTGATAACGTGCAAAATGACTTCTACATGAATCTAAAGGACGATCGGCTAGAAAATGAGGACAGAAAATGCCAGTCAGGCGGACTTGAAGGGAGAGAAGCCCCTCGGAGAGGGGGCGAGGCATCTCGTAATGATTTACGGCCTGGACTGGGAGAAACTTTACTTCGATGGAAAGCAGCTAAGAATCCAGCTCTTCGCATCACGTAAGGCCATTGTACTCCAGTCACATTCCACACAGACGCTGGACGGAACACGGACTTTCAGCTGTTGAGGAAGCGGCTCGGGGCGGAAGGCAGCCTGTGGCCCGCGCGGACTTCCCACTGCGACCCTGGACCAACGCCTGCAATGTGAGGGAACGGCTTTTGTGAACACGGCAATGAACCCTAGAGAAGGCAACTTTTGAATCTGGTAACGAGGGTTGGCCACCAAAATACTCGAAGGAGCCAAAGCTGGCATTCGCGGGTGTTTACCGAGCATTTCAAGAACACGTGACGAATGCTACAAAGACGTCAGAAGTTTCAGACGTTTCAAATATTGTCAACGAACCTTAAGACTAGCAAATCAAACGGCGACACAGAATACCGGAGCAGACAGTGGAATAGAAAACCACGCCGAGACCACGACGTAAATGGTTGTCAACAGACAACCACAATCTCGCTTCGTTGGTTGCCTTCAAGGACTGGCAGATACTGCTGACGTTTCAGAGATAATTACTGCGTTCATCATCAGGGCGATGACGGAGGCAGTAAGTTTATCTGAATGTCCACCATTCTACACGGCGCAGCCTTTAATCATCGTAATACCAACCTCGGAACACCTAACCTTCTACGTTTTCGTGAATTCTCGAGAGCGTTGCACGGGACGAACGCTGTCTTCCGCTCGATACCACGAGGTCTTCTGCACTTTCCGTCATCGTCTCTCCTTTAACCGGTGCCACCAGCCCGCGATGCCGTGTCCCGAAGGAACGCGTTCTGGCATTCATTTGTCATCTTTTCTCTTTGTTCACGTCGTCAGCATGAACCAGTACTTGACATGACCCAATCCCAGGTTTTGTTAAACTTTCCTCATGGCTATGAGGCAACGTCTTGCTTCAGACCTTTACGCTGACCGCAAATTGCCCTCACTCGAGTCGCCACTAAGCTAATGGGCAGAGCTGAGCCAACTCATTGGCCAACCTCTGAAACGCTGGTCTTCCCACTACGAAAGATGCTTCTGGTCCAGGAAACAAGGATCGTTCTCGAGTCTACTACATGCTAAACCGAAGATCGCAGTGGAGTCTGGCAGAAGCTTACCGACGTTTCAGAGATACCTGCTCCCTCCATCATCCGGGCGACAGCCACCGTGAAAAAATTGAAATCCTGCAAATTTCTTTAACTCTATGGAAAGCGAAGGTTCATTGCCGTGCTCATAACAGCGCGTCACCAACCCCTAATGTGAGCCAGTTTAATAACGGAGTCCACACGCACTCATCTCCTTTGAGATCCATTTCAACATCAACTTTCG